CCAGGCCCCAGCCACCCCAAGAGACAAGATCTACAGCAAAAGCACTTCACCCATAACTCCATGCCCAGTGCTGGGCCACGAAGCCTCCTGGGGAGAGCTGTGCCTCTCGGGCTCTCCTCAAGGGCAAGTTTCGCTCGGTCCTTGGCTGACCGCCGAGTGACATCTGCGACAGACACAGCACTGCACCCCATCTTGGCCCTATGGGACCGCATCCCCCCATGCTTCTGTACAGGTGGGAAAATCTTCCCTGTCCCACCCCACCCTGCCTCACCCCAGGGGCCCCGATCAAGAGCTCAGGCCGGGAAGGGCCAGTTTCTAAACCATCCGAGGCTGGCAGCCCCTGCTGCAGCCGACCTGGCCTCCAGATCCCTGGCACCCTCCTGCAGCTCCCTGGCCCGACTCCCTTCCTGGGCTGGTACCTCCAGGACCTTCTCTTGGACTCTTGCTCCTGGCCCTCCAGGCTGGTCTTTTTGTATCAGCTGCAGCAAAATTTTGGGGTGGGCGGAGATCACCATCCTGGAGGCCATCCAAGGAGCCCTGACAACAGGCAGGACCATGCCAGGGCCCTGAGGCCTCTGATGCAGCCTGTAGGCTCTCAATGGGCCAGGGCCAGGGCCAGGCCGCAAATACCAGGCCCAGTGCTGGCGACCAGCAGGAGTCTGTAACCTGTCCCCAGCAGGACGGCGAGCTCACATTCCCCAGGGCAGCACCGGGGCCCCATGCGGACACTGCGTCCACGCCAACAGGTGGGGCCAGTGAATAAAACTCCCTAGCGGCCACAGAAAGGAGCCTGCAGAAATTCCATCTCCAGCTGCCCGTGACATGGTCACAGCAAGGTCACAACTGATCGGACCTGCAGGGACACTGAATCCCTAGAGGCTCAGTGGCCCTTATCATCATCTCCCTTATAATATATTAAGGAAGAGCAAGAGAGACGGGTGCCCTCAATGCCAGCTGGGCCCAGTCACCTGGCCAAGGACACGGCGGTCCTGCTGGGCACACAGGAGACGAGGCATACCTCTGGAGGCACTGGGCCAGCTCTCAGAGGTCCCCCACAGCAAGGGAGGGGCAGGGCACACAGATGCCCCTGGGCAGAGATCCCCAGCCTGCCAGTTCCCTTCCTAGGACAGAGCACGTGGGCTCTGAAACCACCATGGGGCGCCTCAAGGTGACAGGGAACGCTGTGTGCCCCGCATTCGACCTAAGGGCTGGGATGGCAGGCTCCTCGCCAGAGATCAATATCCACCTAAGCAAGAGGCCTGTGTCACTACTGAGCGACAGCCGCCTGCTGGACGCGGTCAGGATGGGCCCTGGGTGGGGGCGGGGGTGGGGCTCCTGGAGTCAGAAAGCTCTGGTTTGAACCCTGCCTCTGCCACTTCCTGGCTGGGTAACCCAGGGCAGGTGACTTCATCAGGTTGAGCCTCTGTTTTCCCCATCTCTAAAATGGGAGTCATAACAATCTCCAGCCCACAGGAATGTTTAGAGACTCATCGCTGGCCCTAATGAGCTCACCACGCTCCTTGAGAGGGGTCCAGGAGGGGCTATGGGTCAGGAGTAGTGATGCACACCTCTCACCACAGCACTTAGGAGGCCGAGGCAAGAGGATCAGCGTGAGTTCGAGGCCAGTTTGGGCTGCATAGTGAGATCCTGCCTCAAAGGAAGAAAGAGGACAGGGGTCACAGCCAGGGCCCAGGCCCAGCTGCAATTCTGCTTGAAAGGTGCTGTGGGCTCAAGCACCTGACCTCCCTGTCCTCCTGGCTCCTCCTCCCTTGGCTGCAGGACACAGGAAGGGCGGCCCACCCAGGCCCAGCGCTCCTGTGGGTCCCTAGGGAAAGCTGCAGAAAATCCCTCCCGTCACCATATAAGGCTGGGCCTGGCGGCCCGGGGTCAGCGACCACACCACGAGGCCGTGGGGAATGCCAGCTATGCGGTGGGAGTAGGAGGCGCTCGCCAGGCCCGTAGGGTAGACACACACGCACATGAACATGCGCACACACACGCACACACACGCTCACATGCACACATGCATGCGTGCAGGTAGCCGGGCAGGCACGGGTGGGCCAGCACCCACAGGAGCAGCTGGAGAAATGCGCAGAGATCAAGCAGTTGGGGTTCAGGCTGTGGCTGTTGAAACCCTCGCCATGCGCAGATCTTCTCTGAGCCTTAAGAATGTGGGCAGCCGCCGCAGGGCCAGCAAGGAAAAAGCGCCCACGGCATGCTTGGCATAGCGCTCACATTCCAAGTGCCCAGCAGATGGCGGTGGACGCAGACGGAAGCCAAACGCAGGTGCGTTCCCCACAGGCTCCCTGCCTTTGTTCCGCCGGCCTCACCCCAGTCCGCTCCTGCTTGTTTTAACTCTTGAATCTTTCTAGTAACAACGGCAAGCAGGTGTAGTTATACAGGCCTGTAACCTCACCCCTGGGGAGGCTGAGGCAGGAGGATCACCGTGAGTTTAAGGGCAGCCTGAACTACACAGTAAGCCACTGCCTCCAAAAAAACAGTTTTTTAAAGCAATACTTGATAAAACTGAACTACCGTGCCACCCTCTGAACCCTGGCACACACCAAGGGGAATCAGGGTACTGGCCGAAAAAGGTCCCCAGAGCTGCCAGCCCACACTGCTGGGCATAGCAGTTGGTCATGCAGACCTCAAGCGGGGAGTCACGACGCCCTGCCCCTCACCCTTGTCTCAGCCAAGAATCCACATTCCACTGTGGCGGTGAACCTGAACCCCAAAAAAGACAGTGCAAACTAGCGATGTGGCTTTCTCAAGAACATTCTACCCAGGGACCTGTCACTCCAGCTATGACCATGGGCAAACCAGACTCGTCCTCTGCGGATGACTTTGGGGAGCTGAGGGGACAGGGACCACTGTTCTATCCAGTATGGGACACCCTATGTCTCAAGAAGATCCTGTTTCTGCCCCTGTACCTTGAGAACCCAAGCAAATGCGTGCCTACGAGGGCAGCCCGCTCTTTACATGGACACTGTTTCCCTCTCTCTCTGTCTCTCTCCCTCTGTCTCTCTGTCTCTCTCTGTCTGTCTCTCTGTCTTTTTGAGACAGGGTCTCACTGCAGCCCAGGCTGGTCTCAAACTTGCAACCATCCTCCTGCCTCAGCTTCCCGAGTGCTGAGATTACACAAATGTGCCATCACACCCAGCTCTACGTGGACTATCTCCCTGAAGACACACAACCGAAAACTCACAATCACCACCAAGATCTCTCCTTGGCGAAGGGGCGTGGCTCACCCAAGACCACAGAACTGGCATGCTGGGTGGTCTGTGGCCACCTTGCCCCGATGAGCAGGGACCTGGCAGCAGCTTCTAGTTGGGCCTGGAGCTTCCTTCCTCTGGTGGCCACACCCTGGGCCCCGGCCCTACAGCAGCCTGAGCTCTGCGGTGAGTGGATCTCAGCACAGTGTCCCAGCAGGGAAGACCCAGCTGCCAGTGGCCTCCTTCGTGGCCTCAGGCCATCCACTTGCCCTCTCTGGGCAGCACACTCTTCTTTACCCTCCCCAGTCCCGGTGCTGTTGGGTGCAATCCTGAGAGCTGCAGTCCCTCCACCTAGCTGAGCCAAGCTGGTCACTTCTCCCAAGTACCCCTGGCCCACACCCTTTGCTGCCTCCCCAGGGGCCAGGTTGGCATGGAAAGTCCCAAACACTCTCAGCTCTTCTGGCTTGGCCAACTACGGTCACCTAACCCCCATCTCCAGCTGCTTTTGGCTCGGGGTCCTGCTGGCTATGGGTGGATTTGGCCAGCTCAGAACCCGCCCAGCTAAGTGGCCCAGGGGGCTGGATGAGGTCAGCGTTCCAGGCTCCTGACCAGAGGCTAAGAGCAGCGGGGACCACGACTGGGCGAGTGCAGAGCAGCTTGGGAAGGAACCCAGCCGACCTGGACGCTGGAGCCCAGCCGGACGTCAGGGCAACCTTTCAACCGTGCCCAAGGAGGCATGGAGAGGCAAGGGGAGGGTGCCAGTGAGTGCCTGGGGCCCTCCAGGGCAGTCTCATAGCCAGTGCATGACCACAGAGACAGGCTGCCTGTTCAACGCCTTCCAAGAAATCAAGGGGCAAATCAAGGCTGTCGGTTGCCGGAGGAGAGAAGGCGGCTCGGCTCAGCTCAGCTCTAGGCCCTGCACCCACCTCCCCGCAGTCATGCCCAGGGCTCTGCCAGCCCCTCAGCCGAGTCTCACCTGGCACTCTAAGTGCGGCTCAGCCCCTCAATGTCCAGAGGCACAAAGAGCCAGTAAAGGGAACACCCAGCCTTGTGGGGGGGGGGCATCCTGTGCCACTCATCAGGAAAGAGGTGCAGAGTGGCCTCCTCCGAGTAACCCTGAGAGCCAGGTGCTGGAGCAGACGTAGGCCGCTACGAGCCTCTTTCCTGGTGACCCTGCTCCCAGGTGCCCGGCAGAGGTCTATGGGGCTGGGACCAGACAGCAGCTAGGTTGAGCCCAGGTCTCCCTGAACCTAAAGCCCCCTAAACTCCCCGGCTGTGCAGCCTCTGAGCTCTGCCCATCTTAGACCCTGCCAGCCTTCCTTATCTCCTAGCATCTATGTGGCCATTGAGCCAATTTAGCCAGTCTATTGTGCGCCCAGCAGCTGCCGGCCGGAAGGAGTTCTTTTATTAAAGAAATCCAGCAGGACCGGCAAGTAAAAGGGAGTTTAGAAAAGTTGGAGAGAAAGACGTGAGACTTCCCCGGCGGCGGGGAACCAACTGCCAATGCTTTCTGTGGTGGCCGCCGCGGCAGGCCTGGGTGGGGGGGTTCCCTTCTGGCGCCAAAACTCCGCGCCGGACCCAGGCTGGTTTGCGGGGAGCCCCAAGCATCGGGGCGGCCGCGCGCGCTCCAGCACCAGCTCCACCTCCTCCGCCCGGGAGTAACAAGGTGCAACCCGAGCCGCCGGGCTGGGAGGGGGGCAGACCTACCTGAGCCTCAGGCTGGGGCCAGGGCTGCAACAGGGAAACCTGCTGGGGGTGAGGGGCCCCGCGCACTCGTGCCCGGCTTACCCGGTTGATCTCCGCCAGCCTCTTCTCCTGCTGGGCTTTGAGCAAGCCGAACGCCTTCCCTCCTGGAGGAGACAAAGAGGTGCCGGGGAAGCTGGGCCCCGAGGCGGCGGCCCGGCCCCACCGCAGACTGCCCGGCGCGCACAGGTGGCGGCTCGGGCCGCGCGGGCCGCCGCGTCTACCTTGGAACCTGTTGCTGAGCGCCACCGACATGGCGAGCGCCGGGCTCCGCCTTCCCGGCTCCGCAGCCGCCCAGCGAGGGTCAGGACGAGGCGCGCGCTGGTCCCCGCGGCCGGGCGTGTGGCGCGCGGCGGGCCGAGGGGCGGAGAAGCCCGGCCGGGGACACACCCCTCCCGCCCCGCCGCCGCGCCCCGCCCCGTCCCTCCCCGTCCCCTCCCTCCCCGCCTCCTGGACCGCGGGCATCAAAGCCGCTATTATGTGGGTCGCCGGGTGCACGGCCACCCGTCCCGGGGATGGGGGGGCTCAGAACACGCCCGCCCGGCGGCCGCCGTCACCCCTCCCTCTACAACCTGGCCGGACCTCAGCGAGACCAGGGGACATCTTCACTCACTTCGTGGGATGGCTGTGAGCACAGAACGGGGTCCCAAGGGCAAGGAGTAAGCCGAGGCCATCACCTTCACGGTCCTCCTTTCTGTCCTGTTGCCACCCCAGCATCTAGGACGCGCTAAGCCAATGACGCGAATTGGAATCTTGTTAATAAAACCTGTCTCCTGGGAGAATCGATCACTAAGCAACAAGCACCTGGCACTGTCAACCAGGCATCTGCTTCTCAGAACTACAAAAGAGCCAAGTTGGGTGGCGTGTGTGCGGCATCCCAGCACTCGGGAGGCTGAGGCAGGAGGGTCACAGTGATTTCCAGGCCAACCTGGAACTATGGAAGAGGACTAGATGTTACTATTCCACAGAAGGGAAACAGGAAGCCTGGACTCAAGGAGGATGAGGAGGACTTAGTGGGGAGAAGGAACCTGTGGCCTGAATGATCATGAAGTCCAGTGGCGTCCACATCAGGATAGTCTGGGAGTAGAGGGGGCGTTCCTGGTAATTACAGCAGGGCACAGGCATAAACCTGGACAGTCCCCACCTGGCCACTAGGAACCCCCCCCCCACACACACAGAGCCCACTCTGGGGACTAGATCCAGGAAACCTCCTTCCCCGCCTGCTTGATCCCCCTAGGAAGGGGGTCCTGGCACCAGCTGACCTTTTTCTGATTGCTCCAGGGAAGGGAAGTGGCCAGACTGTGTCAGGGAGGGAGTGGACAGAACAACATAGGCTGAAGACAGGGCCACCTTTCATGGTGAATGGGAGATGTCCGAGCTGGAGGACAGGAAGGGCGTGGGCTTAGCACAGGGTCTCCTGGCCCCGCTTCTGGTCCGGGTCCCGATGCCCTATTGCCCTGGCCGGTTAGCTGACCGGGCCCCAGCAGCCATCGGGCGAGGCAGGGCCACCCCACCTTCTGCCACTCAGCTGCTGGGCTGCATTGCTGGCCAGATGTTTGGCAGCTGCTGGATTCCACCCAGCGGCCAGCAGCCCCACCTCTGTGGCCAGAATGTGGTTCTGCATACACCAGGTGTGATCCAGCCCGTGAGTCAGCTGTCAGCCAGGCTGAGACCTGTCACAGGGATGTCGGGATACGGCACGAGGGCACAGAGCTTGGATGCCAGGGGCAGTGGTCAGAGAAACTGGGGTGGGTCCAGAGGACATTGGGCCCTCTTACCATCACCTTAGCATCCACCACAGCCCTCCCTGACCCCAACTTCCCCCCAGGGGGTGGGGAGCACAGACAGCCTCTGAACAAGGGTAGGGGGACCTTCACTTTGGCCTGGCGGTTCTGCCTTCCTACCCTTCAGGACTGAGCCACACTGGCCAGGCCCCAGCCTGGCCCCTGGGCTGCATGCTGCCCCATGGCCATCTCGCCCTTTGGGCCCCGTCCAAAGCCTTCCTCTTCCTTCTCCTCCTTGTCGCTGGCATCTCTCCCTACTTCTTGTACCCCTGGATAGTTTTGAGGTCAGCTTCCTGTTTCCCTGTCTTTGCCCTGAACCAGAGGTCTTCTGGGGGCCCCTTCGTCCCCCACCCCTCCAGCTCTCCCTGGCCCCCAGACTCTGGCTGATGAGTACCTGCTGCTAAGAGGGATGCCCGTGGTCACAGGACCCCCAAAAGCCCCCCAGTACCATAGTGACAAGGTCAACTCCTGCCACCTTCTTTCCAGGTACATGAACTGCAGGGTCTTCCCCCCTATTTGCAGACCCAACTACAAGGTATACCATGTGGGGACTCATTGGGGGCTCCCTGGCCGCCCGCCAGCCATGGAGGATGGAACACATTGCCCAGCTCAGGAAAGAGTCCTTTATTCCGCATGAGAACTGGTCCACATTACCACCTGTTCACCCAAGTGGGGCCGGGAGCCAGGAGGAACCGGGCCAAGGCCCTGCTGCTGGGGAGAAGGCGGCCCGGGAAAGGGAGGAGGAAATGCCAGGGAGGCTGCCAGGCACCTGACCGCAGGGTGATTCCTGGGCAGGACAGACAGGAACGGTGGCTAGGTTTCCACACCTTGCGGCCTCCTTTGTGACAGATGGGGCAGCAGGGCTAGGTCAGGAAGTGTCCATCACAGGCTGGGCAGTGAGTGAGGGCATCAGGAGTTTCTGTGGCCAGTCTGAGGCCCCCAGGACCCAGGCCCCTTCAGATCCCGGAGGGCCTGGCTCCAAGCAAATCACCACCTGGTGGGGGGTGGGGGTAGGGTGGATGGGGTCAGACCCAGCTCCTGGGAGGAAAGGTCCAGAAAAAAGAGTGCTGTTCCTTCTGGCTAAGCAGGCCACACCACAGCCTCAGGGGAGTCCTAAGCTCAAATGCAATGTCTAAGAGGGTCCCCAGCACCTGGCCTGGGCCCTGGCCCCAGGGTGTGTCTGCCCCGTGATGGGTATGAGGGGCTGCAGTGAGCCTGGGGGCAGCCCTGGCACTGGGGGCTCCAACCCTGGCTTTGCCCACCTTAAATCTCTGTATACCCCCCACCAGATGCCGCTCCTGCACTCCTCAGCAGGCAGACAGGTGACCCTGCAGGGAACTTAACACGGCTGCAGGGTCCCAGCACAAGCTGAGGATGAACCGTCTTGTGTGTGCATGTGTGCAAATGGCCCTGAACACACGTGTGCCCGATACACAGACATGCACCCAGGCGCAGGTGTGTGTTACTGATGCCAGGGTGAGCATGCCACTGGGTATGTGCCCCGGAAGATGCTAGTGCCGGTGGGCTGCTGTGGCGCTGTGCCCCGGGCTGGTGAGCTGTGAGCAGGGGAGAGTGTGCCAGGCTCTGTGCCCTCACTTCGGGCTGGCACAGTGGGCAGGCAGATTGCGCAGAATGGCCTCCAGGTTCTGCTTGTCAGCTCGGATCTCGGCGAGGTCACTGTCGAAGCCCTGAATCTGTAGCCTCTGCTGCTCGGACTCTTGTTCCAGCAGCCTCAGTTTCCCCTGCAGTGCCCCCTGGGAGCCCAGCTGAAGCCTCAAGCTGTCCAGGACCTGCTGGGTCTCATTCAGGGCATGGCTGGGAGCTTCGTGGGTGTCCAGGGTCCCTGTAGGGGTACAGGTGGCCTTAGTAGGAGCCAGGTCCTGCTGGTCTCAGGGACCTGTTCAGCCCCTACCTGTTCCCAGCTGTTCCCAGCTTAAGCTTCTAGGATGCTGAATGCCAGGGGAATGGGGGGACCGGGACCCCATCATGTCACCGCAGGCATGTGAGCTGTGGCCCTGGGTAATGGTTCCTTTTGGGGTGTTGATACTATGATTGGAGAGTTTTCTCTGAGCCCCGTTTCCTCATCTCTTGAGACTCCTGCCTGCTCACACACACAGCGTCACTGCACCCTGAGCACACTCGGAGGGATCCTCAGGGGTCCCTCGGCCAGGCAGTGACAGGCCGTGGTTCATATGTGGCTCACATCTGACACCTGGCTTGCCACGAATGCTTTCCCTGGTCCTGGCTTCACACGAGGGCTGGGGAGCAGATGGGGCAGGGAGGGCCGTGGGGTGCAGGTGGGGGTCCTGGCCCGGGCTACTCTACTTCCGGTCAGCTCCACTCCCTGGGGTGAAGGACTCACGTGCCTCCTTGAGTGGCAGACACACAGGTGAGCCACAGGTTCACGCTGCCACTTGGTGGTGCAGGTGGTGTCGGGGCTGCCTTCTCACTTTGTCATTGTCACTAAGCATGACATCCAATGGAAAGACAGAACCCAGCCAGGTAGGGCTGAGAGGCATGGGGAGGTCAGTGCTGTGGGATGCGGCTGGGCCCCAGGGCTCCCCTGAATTTCCCAGGCAGTGGGGCTGGGCCCCAGGGCTCAGGGGAGGCAGAGGGGGCCCTGGGGCCTGCTGTCGGGAGGAGTTTGATGAATGAGGAAATGACCGAATGGAGACAACACTCAGCCCCAGAAGAGCGTTCTTGGCAGGCCAGGCGTCAGGTGAGAGCTGCCTGGCCTTGGGAGCCAGGACACCACCAAAGTGCTCTGTGCCTTAGTTTCCTCATTTGCAAAAGGGCAAGAGGGTAACTGGCCAGCATCTCATTCTATAGTTTGGGTTTGTCTTGAACTCACTATGTTGTAAAGGCTTGAAGTCTCAGTGATCCCCCTGCCTCAGCCTACCCAGTGCTGGGATGACAGTCAGGCGCCACCACACCAGCAGGGGTAGGGTGTGAGGAGGGCTGCGTTTGGGAAGATGAGACAGTTCTGGAGATGGATGAGGTGAGGGACGCACAAGAGTGTGATTGTACCTAACGCTCCTGCTACCGTTGGTATCTGAACGTCCCCAAAGGGCACTGATGGAAGGCTTGGTCCCCCGCCCAGGGTGCACTGGGAGGAGCTTGCAGGAGACAGGGTCTGGAGGAAGGAAGTTGGGACCCTGGGACTGCCCTTGAAGAGGACAAGAGAATCCAGGCCCTTCTGGGCTTTCTGCATCCCAGCTATCACCAGCTGCACAGAACCCAGGCCCCAGGGCATGCCAGGCATGTGATCTACCAACAGCTCTCCCCCAGCCCAAACCCTGCCTCCTTCAGCACTGACCGCCTGGGGTATTCTGTAATAGTAACACAAAGCTGACGAGCACAGCCCTCAGCCTAAACACTTAAAAACGGATATGACCGTTACTTCCACTTACAAAATGGTTTGGGCACAGTGCTATACTCCTAGAACCTTAGCATGCTGGGAGGCTGAGGCAGGAGGGTCACAAGTTCCAGGCCAGCCTGGACAACTTAGTGAGGCCCTGTCTCAAAATTTAAAAATACAAAGGGCTGGGAAGAAGCTTAGTGAATGACAGCTTAGCCCTGGGCTTGGTTCTCAGTATCAGGAAAACAAATACGCTTGGTACATGAGCTCTGAGCTCTGCTGTCCTCCTGTGCCAGGGACACTGGAACATCTGTACCTGGACGGGTGTTGTCCCCTGTGCCCACGATGCTGCCAACCGAGGCTCATCCAGAACCAGCTCCCACAGATCAGAACCGCTGTTTACTGGTGCTCCCCACAGATCACGCCCTGGGTCAGCACTTTCTACATCACCCGAGGTCACCCGCACTTTATGGGTGGGGACACACACCAGCCCCCCAAGGGGCAGCCTGATGGGCCCAGGCCGCACAGCCAAGGCCAAGACAGAGCCAGATGAGAATCCTGGTCTGTCTGATGCCACATCCTGACGCCAGCCTTGCTTCTGGACCCTTCTCTTCTGGAGTCCTGCCCATGTGGAGCCCAGATTGCTGGCACTGTGTTCTCTCCCACTGGGCTGGAGCCCTGGAGGGCCCCGGGGATCTTCCAAGCCAGCAAGCTCGGAGACACCACCCTGCCTCTCATGGGCCAGGATGGGACAAGGAGGCCACAGAGAGAGGACTGAGAAGACGGCCTCCAGGCACTGCGCCTCCCAGGACAGTAGCCGGGAACTCAGGGGTCAGGGCCCAGCCTTGGGCTCCCCTTACCCAGCCTGGCAAGCAGCTCGGACAAGGCCTCAATGTCCTTCTCCAAGGAGATGCGCGATTCCCGGATCTGCTGCTCCACCGTGTTCAGCCCAGTGCCCACCTTGGGGGAAGGGACAGTGTGAGCAGCTCTGTCCTGGATGCCAGGGACAGGGGCACAGGGTGGGGATGAGGGCAGCACCCCTACCTGCTCAGCTTCCTCCAGCTTCCGTCTGCGGGCCCCCGAGGTGAGCACCAGCTGTGAGGCCTGTGTGAAGGTGGCCTGTGTCTGGCTGGCCAGCTGGCGGGCACGGCGGTGCCCCTGCTTCCCATCCTGCAGCGAGGCCCTGGCGAGCTATGGGCAGCGGCAGGGAGAGGGGTGTGCAGAGCAAGTCCTGTGGGTGAAGCATCCTGGGGACACTTCACACACCAGAGCATGCACACACTTTCATCCATCCATCCATTCGCACACCTATATGTAGTCCTGGTTCAGGCTGGGTGCTGGACCCCACCAACTTCTAAAGGACTCATTTTACCCCAGAGTGGGTACACAGATGCATGGAGATCCCCCAATATCTGAGGGGATAAAGTCAGCCTTCACTTCTATCCGGCCACAAGGACAGGTGCTTGGAACTCCAGTGACAGCCACAGAGCTGGGGACCTGCACACTGATGAGAGTTTGGTCCCTTGAAGAGGCGGCCAGAGCCTTAGACCCCCACAACAAGACAGGCCCAGGTACAAGTCTTGCTTCTTTGTCTTGTTTTTTTTTTTGGGGGGGGGGCAGGGTCCTGCTTTGTACTTCAGGTTGACTTGGGGCAGCTGACTAGGTAGCAAAGCTGGCCTTGAACTCACAGTGATGCTCCCACCTCAGCCTCCAAGTGCAATGACCACAGGCACGTGCCACCACACCCAGCTATGCCTTAATTCTGAGGCTGGCTGGACCTGGGGCCCTCACCACGTGCCGTGGGAACTGCAGTGATACCTGTTTCCTGAGGGATCATCAGTGTCACCCACACAAAGCTGCCAGCCCAGTGTGGAGGACGCACTGGCATCTGGGAAGTGTAGGACATTCCGCCCTGGACCAGGAAGGGAGGGGATTGCCTTGGGAGTGTCCATCTCACAGAAGGGCAGCCTCTCCCCGCCAATGGCTCAGAGGCAGGGAAGCCATTGTTGTGTAACCATGGCCCTGACCTTGGCACCATCCTTGGCCAACAGCTCCGCCTCTCTGCTCTTCTTCCTGGTGCTGGAGGAGAGCAGAACCGAGTTTCCCAGCATCCTCTCTGCCTGCTGGGTCTTCTTCCTTGTGTCCGCCAGGAGCCGGTCCCTGATCACACCTGCTCTCCGCCGCAGCGCAGCCTGGTCCTTGGGCCGAGGAAACCACAACTTCATTCCTGCAAAGCGGCCAAGGCTGTCACAAAACGAGATTCACACCCAGACAGCCCCAGGCCCTGGGCAAATGAGGAGAGAGACGCCTGGGACTGCATGGAGCCTCCCAGGCCGACAGGAGACAGGCAAGGAAGGAGCAATGCTCACTACTCATGGACTGAAAGATGCCTGTGACATCACGGTCTCCATTTAAGTCATGAAATCACAGGGCAGCCAGGGCCTGGGCCAGTGGCCGGGGTGGGGACCTGCAGCACAGGCACGATCATCAGCCCTATGGGGCTTTGTTTTGTTTTTGCAGGGAAGGGAACCCAGGGCCTTTGCACAGATCTACATCCCCAGCACTTCTACTCTGTATTTTGAGAAAGGGCCCCTTGAATTGTTAAGCTGCCCAGGCTGGCTAAAACTTGAGATCCTTCTGCCTCAGCCCCGTGGGTGCTGGGGTCGCACGCCCACACCTGGCTGAAGGCTTTAATATCCTGAAGTGTGCTCTGTAAGGCCGTAAGAGCATGCGCCCACCAAGAGCATTTCCCACGCTCATTTGGACCCACTTCTCTTGGCCAAGCCTGTCAGAGCCTCAGTCCAGGTGCAGCTGGCACCGTATCCAGTCTGCGCTTTCCTAAGCACAGCCAGGGGTGGCCAGAGGCGGAGTCTGAGAGGCCGGGACTCGAGAAGGGGCTGGCACGGGGCTGGAAGCTGGAGTTTGCATGAGTTCCACACAGCCCAGGACAGCAGGGCTGCATCCAGTACCTGCAGAACTTTCAGAAGCAGACAGCAGTGACAGGCCACACCACATAAGGGAGTAAACGGCCAGCTGGGTGGGCATAGATGGCCTCAGACCTGCACAGACCTAGGACTCTAGATTCATCCTATTCCACCATCGTGTGTCGCTGAGGGATACCCCCAAATGTGACCCTAGGCACACAGGCACGAACAAGTGGCCAGGACTTTGGGCCACCGAGGAACTTGGGGCTCTGAGCCTCATGTCTGCCCCAAGCAAGGGTCAGGCTGAGGCTGGAGTCACATGGGGAGGGCAGGTGTGGGACAAGGACCATGGTCAGCAGAGGCCTGGCTCTTCACTTCAGACCCTGAGAGTCACTTGGGCTCAGGGTATGACCCTGTGGGTCACCTGGTCTCAGGCTATGACCTTTGACCTCAGACCTGAGGGTCACCTGGGCTCAGGCTGCTCCCATCTTTGTAGTTCATCAGCTAAAGAGCCCTGGGAGGGTAGGTGGCCTCTCTGGGGCCCAGGAGGTGGCAACACAGAAGTGGGGTGAGGAGGTGTAGAGGCGGGACACTGGCTGGTTTCTGTCCCCACTCAGCTCCAGCCGGGGACAGTCAGCAACCCTTTCCTTAGTCTGCCTATCTGTGAACTGGGTGCCCTCGGCCCCATCTTCCTGACTCACCAAGGGGCCTGGCCTGATGTCATCCCACGCCCCCTTCCAAAGAGAAACTCAGGGTCCTCCCCACGGCCGAGCTCAGCCTGGCCCAGGGCAGCAGGATTTGCAGGTTCCTGAACCCGTCAGAGTCAACCGGACCAGAAGTGGGCGGCCAGTGGCATCTGATTCCCTTCCCATCGTCCTTAGGGCTCCCTGTGGAGTCCCCAGGACAACAGCATGGGCTGGTGCCAGGAAGTGGGGGGACAAAGACCCAGGAGACCTGGGTGAGGTCCTGGGGACATGGGACAGTCCCTGGCTTCTGCTCACAGGACGGGACTTCCGGCCCTGCCCCGGGCCTGGCTGAGTGGGTGGCTGTCGGGCTTGGTGCAGCACGGAGCCAGGGCCCAGCAGGGTACACCTACCTTGCAGGTCAGCCAGCAAGGCTTTGGCTCCCATCACAGTCACCGAGGCAGCCTGGACAGAGGAGGAAGCCCTGGCCAGGGCGGCTGTGGCCTCCTGGCGCAGCTGGAGGGAAGAGAAGAAAGGCTGGCAGCTGCTTGGAGGCTGTCAGGCGGGCCCAAACCTATACCATGATGCCTACACGTCACCAGGCCCTGATGCAGGCACGCGCAGTTCACCAGGAGCACTTGGGGGGCGTCTCACTGTACACTGTCAAACCCTAGGTCTCCCAGAGAGGAGCAGCATTGCTGGGTGGCTGTGGGACGGCCAGCCAGGCCAGACCTGCTGTAAGTCAGCGCTTGGGAGGCTGGGGTGCTGCGGCTCTCAGGGAAGCCGAGGGAGTTGCCCCTCTTTTACGCACAGCAGATCTGCAGGCACTAGAGCGGGGAGCCTAACGTGGCCAAGCTCTGCAGGGTGCAGTCCTGCCCCCTGCTAGCTCCTCGACCAGAAGATGAGGCTGGCACCTGGACAAAGCTGTCACTGTCACCTTGCAGGATGCCACTTAGGTCCTGACTCTGACACCTGCACCATGGTAGCTGAAAAGGTCAGCCTGAGTGAATCCGAGTGGGAGCAGAAGGGAATTCTCTGGGCCTTCTCTGTCACCCTCTGTAACCTTTTCTTAGTCTGAAACTGTCCCAGGTGAAACATTGTTCTCAGAAATTATCTTACAGAGGCCTTTCGTATGTTAATAGTGTGGCAATGGCTGCCTGGTGAATTCCACTGCTCTGGATCCCTGAATTTCTGCCACTTCCCCTTCTAAACACCAGAGGCCAGCTGCAGGGCTCCGCACGGAGCCCCAGGGACTGCTCCCAGCAGCTGGCACAGCAACTAAGGACTTCAGGGAGGAAGCTAAGCCGGGCCTGGTGGCATCACCTGTCATCCCAGCACTCTTAAGAGGCTGAGGCAGGAGGATCGTAAATTTAAACCCAGCCTGGGCAAGTCAGCAAGACCTTGTTTCAAAATGAAAACTAAAACCAAGTCACACGCCTGTCATCCTAGCACTCGGTGGCTGAGACAGGAGAATCACCACAAGTTCAAAGCCAGCCTGGGCTAAAATAAAAGTGGAGTTCTGACATGGGCTGGGGAGGGGCTGGGGATTTAGCTCAGCAGGCATAAGTGCCTGCCTTGCAAGTGCTCGGTCGTGAGTTCGATCCCTGGTACCAATTTAAAAAAAAGACTGAAAATCTGTAAGCTAGTCTGAACTATATAGTTTGCCAGAAATAGCAAGTATCTTGAATAAATACAAAAAAAAGTAAAATAAAATAAAATAGGGCTAAGGGTGTGGCTCAGTGTGAAAGCCCTTGCTTCAAGCCCTCAGCTCTGCAAGGAAAACAAGCAGCAAACACATCCCAAACAAAACCAACACTGACAGCGGTGGCAGGTGGCAGGTGGCCGGCGGAGCGCAGCCTCCTCTCCTTCTTTCTCAGGATGCTGGGATTCCCTCCTGGGGCCCAGGCCACCTCTGAGCCGTTTCCTGCCTCTGCCCTTCCCCCTCCTGCAGCTCCATCCCCAGATCTCCCCAGGCAGGGGCCCCAGCCAAAGGTCAAGCACTGACCTGTGTGAGGGGCTCCGTCCTCTGCAGTGCTGCCTGGACGGAGGCCTGGAGGGCCCTGGTAGCCTTGGTGGCCGCACGCTCTCTCGATGCCACCTTCTGCTCCAGGACCTGCACTCTGAAGTCCAGGTCCCCAGCCTGCGACTGCAGAGGCTGTGGGGAGGCTGAGGTCAGGTGGTATCCTGAGTGCACTGTGTAAGCTCACTGCCTTTTCTGAGTGTGTGTGTGCGTGCGTGCAAGTGTGCACCTGTGCTTGAGCTGGGACCGGGAGCTGGGGCCTGGTGCCTACTAAGCACACACAGTGCCACTGAGCTTGGCCAATTTATTCCTTGTCACAGCTCAGTGTCTGCATTTAGGGTCCCAGGATCACACACAGACCGCCTGACCTGCTGTGTTCCAGGTGCAGAGGGGACCCTGAGTCCCCTCCAGCCCTCGAGGAGACAGCCCTAAAGTAACTTAGGAGGTGAGGCCCATGTGACTGATGAAGTCACTGAGGCCCAGGGAAGGGACATGCTTGGCCCGGTCACACAGCTGCAGGGGTGGAGCTGGGGCTTCCTCCCACATCCGCCCCACATCCTTACTAATGTCACTGGAACGGAGAAAAGGCCGTGGCCCGATTATTACTCTCATAATCACCAGCTCAGGCCTCTGAGCTCTGACCCTGCTGAGCTCTGCGGGTGGAGCAGCTTGCTGTAATCACTGCCTTGGCCAGCACCAAACAGATTCCTCCCGACTGCAGCCCCATCCCAGCCCGCGCAGAGCTCCGAACACCCAACTGACCGGGGCTCCAGCGGTGGCCAGGGAGGCCAGCAGCAAGGTCGAGTTGTCCGTGCCTTGCTGCACAGAGGCCAGCACCCTCCTGGCTTTGGGAAGCTCCCGTGCCAGGGCTGTGCCCAACGCTCTCTGGGCCGCCTGGACCTCTTGGTACCTGGGAGGAAACAGAGGCCACCATAGCCTATGGAGCAGGGCAGAGCCCTTCCGCCTCCCGCTGCTGTCCAGGCTCCAGCTGCAGCCCCAATGTGTGAAGGCCTCTCAGCAACCTGGGCAGAGTGGCCCTGTGTGGCAGGCACCGAGGCAGCGAGTGGACCTTCGTTCTTGTCCAAAGGGGCTCTGCTCAGTTTCCCCGAGGACCACACCTTTCAGGAGCAGCTGGCTCCGGGGGGCGGAATCATACAGGAAGAAAATACCCAGAAGGAAGCTCAAGGCCCAGCCCCTGGTCCTGGCTTGCTCATGCCCTTGTTGGTGACCTTGGGCACAGGCGTGTCCCTCCCAACCAGCGAGGTGACCCGTGGGCCCATGACTGTCATCCTGATGGCTTCTGGTTCTGTCACCACCCAGAAGGAGGGGTTTTCTCTCCCGGCCCAGTTTACAGCCTGCTCCTCCATCCTGTCTTATGAGGTGCACAGGTGAGGTACCGTGCCCACTTCCTTCCTACCCTCACCCTTCTAGGCATGGGTGCCTCTGGCCCCTGAGGGTCATGTGACCCCCCCCCATAACCTGGCTCAGGACCACAAGCCTGAGCCAGTTAGCGGCTCTCATCTCATCTCAGAATGACAATTCGAGGCTCCTGAATTATGAATCTCAGACCCTTGAATAGAATAGAAGGAGTTGGGGGTAGGAGTCCCTAGAACACAGAGTCGAGCTGCCCGGGCAGCAGAAGCGTAGAAGGGAGGTGGTGCCCAGGAAGAGCACAGCAGAGCTGCCCTGGGCTTGGTGGGAGGACTCAGGGTCCAGGGCAGGGGACAGAGATTCGCTGCTGGGCTCCAGACCCCGAGGCCCCAGGCATCCTGGCCCATCCTCAGGCTCCTCAGGGCTCTGCAGCCCCATTTGGGACCAGTGGCCCCTGCTAGAGCCTCATGGCTTGAGCCCACGCCCGAGGTCGCACCTGTCCTCCAGGTCATGCTGGGTCTCCAAGGCCGCCCTGCCATCCGCCAGCTTCCAGAGGAGTGAGGAGCTGGTATTGGAGGCAAGCAGGGCACGGTGCACGGTGGTTTTGATCTCGGCGGCAGTGTCCCTGTGACTGCAAGGGTCAGAGCCCAGCTGTCAGCAAGCGCTGCCTCAGAGGGGCCAGGCCACGCTCACCAGCTGCTTTGTACCTGCCTGCCCCGGCACAGGGGGACTGCAACCAGGTTCCAGCAGCCAGCCTGTTCCCTCCGCCTACCAGCCACTCCTGCTGTCTTTCCATCAACCGTTAAAGCCCCTCAGTTTACAATACATCATACGGTCTCCCTCACAGAGAGGGAGGGGCGGGGCCAAGGCAGTCTGGCACTATCACTTCCAGGCTGTGTATTCCTGGGCAAATCATCTGACTTCCCTGATGCTTCCACTAGAAAGTGAATCTAAGGTCCTTAGAGCTACAGGAGGAAACTGCCACCAATCCTACACTTTTAGCATCCTAAGGTGGGTTATTCAAGGCAGTGGACAAAATAAGCCCGAGATCTATTAGGACCACATACGAGGCATGTGGTGGCCCTATCTACTAGCATATTACACAGCCATCAAAAAGAAATTGAGACAGACAGCAGATTATTGGTAGCCACAGGTGGAGTGGCTGAAAAAAGTGAGATATGATTTTTTTAAAAAAGGATACAAGGTTGGTTCTGAAGATGATAAATGTTCTAAAACTGATTGTGATGGTTGTGAACTCTGAATATATTGAAACCACTGAATCGTACATTGTGTAGCTTAAGTCTCAGTAAACTGTTATCAAACAAAAAGGCATCAGCATTTAGACATTTTCAGCGGAGCAAGCTTTGTCCCCTCACCTCTGTCCATGCTTCCCCTGCAAACCTCTCCTCCCCATGGTGACCAGGGCTCCCCACAGGTGACTCCGGCCTGACCTGACCCCACCTCTTGAGCAGGAGGGATCTGGGAGCAGCCCTGACCCTGGATGCCCTGATTGGTGGGAATGACCTCCCTCAGCCCCGGGGCTGTGGGGCTCACTCACCCCCTGGCGAGGGCGCGGGCCTCTGCAGCCAGATGGCTCCAGTTGGAGGGCTGGCTGGACCCATCCTGGAGAGTCGCCTTCAGAGAAGAAGAGGAAACCGAGGCCCAGTCTGGCAGGGCCAGAGCCACCTGTGGGTAAATCCTGGGGCAGAAGCTGAGTGTGCTGGCAAGTATCTGGTTGGGTTTTATTTTCTGTGACAGGGTCTCACTCTCACTAGTCCGGCCTGGCCTTGAACTCACTATGTAGCCCAGGGTGGCCCTGAACTGGAGGCAATCCTCCTGCCTCAGCCTCCTGAGTGCTAGGAGTACGGATGTGTGACACCACACCTGGCTAGCGCTGGTAGTTTCATAAATGCACAGACCTAGTCACAGAGTCAACATTTGGGCTGTGGGGCTTCTGCATACAGAATACTGGTAACATCACTGCCCACCACCTCCTGTGCCTTCCCTGCGCTCATAGCAAACACTGTCTCATTTGGGCGTGGAGGAGGCACTGTGTGACCCCCAATCTGCAGAGGACACCGAGCCTCTCATAAGGGGAGCCCAAGGTGATGGCCCAAGACCTTCAGTGGGAGGGGGTCCCCTGGTACCAAAGATGTCAGAATGCTGGCTGCGTTCAGAATCTCATCTTGTGAAGACTCCAGGGTTGCCCCCAGGTCAGCCAGCTGAGTGCAGGTCTTCGCGGTTCCAGCCTGGGCACAGCCAGAAGCCTCAATCAGGGCCTGCAGCCGCTCCCGGGAGGCCTTCACAGCACCTTCCAGGCCTCTCAGCTGCCCCAGGAGGGCGTCCTGTGGCCCTGCAGAAGCCCAAGGCCGGGAGTCACTGAGTGGGGAAGAAGCCACATGAACGCCCCAAGCCCATGCCAAAGGAGAATCTGCCTATTCTACAGATGCAAAGGATGAGCCCGTGAGAAGGTAAATGAAGACCACGGGTCTCCCACAGCACGTCTGTCAGCTGCCAGCATGTCTGTCACCTGCGAGGGACTGTAAGGGACCCTGGCCTTCCAGAGCCACACAACAATCAGTTCTGGGAGTCCAGACAGCAGAGACTCCTGCCCAGGTCAGCTCTGAAGTTCCCAGTGAGGCTCACACGTGGACATCTAAAATATGCCAGATGCTGCCCCTCTTTTTGTGTTAGGGTTATTCCTAGATGGCCCTCAAGAGCCACATGCGCTTCTAGGTGGGCTTTTGGGAGGTGACTGGATTGAAGGGATTTATTTTTTTATTTTTATTTTTATTTTTTTTTTTTTGGTCTTTTTTGTTTTTATCGGTACCAGGGATCGAACTCACGACTGCCTGCTTTCAAGGCAGGCACTTATGCCGCTGAGCTAAACCCCCAGCCCCTTGGATTGAAGGGATTTAGAGCTGACTTGCAGCGAGGAGGCGGGGCCTAGATGCAAAACAAGGGCCATTGGGGGCGTGATCTGGTGTTTGTGGGTGTGGCCTGGCTGGTAGGTGGGGCCTGGTGGGGGCGTGGCCAGGAAGGGTTTCTCTCCCTCCCCTGCACCTCCCTTCCCTTCCTACTTCCTGTTCCCCACACCTGACCGGCTCTCCTTCACCATGCCCCTCTGCCATAGTGTCCTGCTAACCATGACCTGAAACATGAGCTGGGGATGTGGCAGTAGCAGAGGGAACCAGGTCAAGAGCCCAGGGCCCGGCCCGTTCAGCACCTGGACAGCGTCCAGACTGAGCTTTATGGCTGTCCTGAGTTTACAGTCTGGATGGGACAGACGGGGACAGAGGGCTGGGCACACAGGAGGAGAGGATCATGGGAGATAGGTCTGTACCCCACGACAGCAGGCAGCAGGCTGCGTCCAGGGCTGGGACCACCCCCAGCCCCCAGCCCCTGCCCTGCCCTGTACCTGGCAGCAGGTGGTGGCCCTGGTCACCGTTCCCCCCGGGGGCTTCTCCCTGCAGAATGTCTGGTGGCCCCCAGGGATAGCCACAGTCAGACCCCTGCAACCACTCCTCCATCAGGGCCAGCCTGGCCTTCAGCTTGGCCACCTGCAGGGTACAGGGAAGGGAGCATGTATAAAGGTGGTGGCCAGGGGCTGGAGGTTTAGCTCAGCGGCATAAGCTCCTGCCTTGCAAGCAGGCAGTCGTGAGTTCGATCTCCGGTACCGATAAAAATGAAAAAGACAAAAAAAAAAAAAAAAAAAAAAAAAAGGTGGTGGCCAGGAAGTCCCAGCTGGTGTCATCCCTGGCATCTGCCAGGCCAGGCCTCCCCTAGGGCTCCCGTCTCCATGTTCTATGCCAGGCCTCACTGCTCAGGGCCTCATTTGCATTTTTTGGAGGTTTTGGCTCTGTTCTGTTTGTTTCAGTGGGGTTTTCAAGACAGGGTCTCACTGTGTAGCCCAGGGTGGCCTCACACTTGCAGTGTTCCTCCTGCCTCAGCCTCCTGAGTGCTGGGGTTTCAGGTGTACGCCACGCCTTTTCTGTTCTGTTTTTTGAGACAAGTCCTCACTATAGTCCAGGCTGGCTTCAAATTCATGGAGATCTTCCTGTTTCAGCCTCCTACTTACTGAGGTTGTTATAGGCATGAGCCATCACATCCTGGCTTTGATGCCAAACTCTGACCCAAACTTATTTGGAAGCAAAACTGGAGGAAAAGGCTCCTTGAGGGTTTATTTTCCCACAGAGTGTAAATGAACTTGCGGCCTTGCAGGAGGGTCACCGGCTGTACTCGCGGGGCTAGCCCGCTTACCGGTGGGAAAGGGAACCCTGTAATGCGCCTTCTCTGTCTACAGCGCCACACGTCCGGGAACCCCACTCTCCCAGCCAGCGAGGAGATACAGGTTTGGAGGGGGAGGGGGCATGGGATTACCAAGGCTGCTCCTGCTTGGTGAGGACAGTGCATGAGGCTTGGGGAGGGGGCCCTGGCGGGTCAACCCCAGGGTTCCACCTCCTCCCTCCACACCACCCACCTCACTCCTCTGAATTCTACTGGGGGATGGGTGACAGGCCGCCCCTGTCATCCAGCACTTGGGAGGCTGATGCAGAAGGACCACTTTGAGTTCAAGGCCAGCCTGAACTGCAAAGAGTGATCCTGTCCTAAAACACAAACACTGCACTTGGGCCTGAGCACGAGCCACACCTCCCCACCAAGGGGGTGTCTGTGGTCTCCCCCACTGACCCTGAGACAGTGTGAGCCTTGGGCCAGATGCTCAGGAGGGGAAGTAACAAGAGCCACCTCTCTCCTGTCCACCAGGAGCAGGGTGAGGCTGGAGCCGGGCGGGTGCAGGGCAGGGGGCTGGTAGCCGAGCAGCTGGGCGGGGCTCACCTCCTCCTTCACCAGGCCGTAGCAGGGCGGGCACTCCTGGCAGTGTGCACCGCCCTCTGCGGGGAAGAAGTTGTCCTGGCAGCGGTCACACTTGTAGCCCACGAAGCCGGGCCGGCACACACACGTACTGTTCTCGTGGCACTGGGCTGAGGTGGCACCCAGCGGGGAGCACCTGCAAGCTGGGGAGTGCGACAGTGGGCAGCAGGCTCCACAGCGTGACCCCGGACCCTGCGCCCTCGGGCCTGGAACCCTCAGGACCCCTGAGGGGCTCAGGGGCAGATTTCTGGGCCACTGTCTGGAGATTCTCATCGGAAGGCGGACTTAGGTCACCTGGGGCCTGAGGACCAACTGCTAGCACAGCCCAACCCAATGCCTAGGGAAACTGAGGCTGGCAGAGGTGACACAGTGACCCCAGTCACACAGGGATGAGTGGTGGCATCAGGGACATAGTCCTCAAGCTGCCCCAGGACACTGCTACTCTCCCAAAGCTCTCGTACCTAGGCTGCTGCTCCCACGTCTGCCGTCCCCTCCCCTCCAGCACAGAGTCCCATCTTTCGGGGAGACCCCAGCCCCACCCAGTCCCCCCCAGTCCCTGCAGGTCCTGGCTACCTTACCCCGGCAGCCCTTGATGGAGAAGCCGAAGAAACCCAGCTGACATCTGTCACAGGCCAGGCCCATGACTCCAGCGCGGCAGTGGCACTGCCCGGTCTCAGGGTGGCACTGGTTCTCCTGGGAGCCCAGTGGGTGACACATGCAGCTGTGACAGGGGAAGGTGCCAGGTCTGAGGCCAGCTCCAGGCCATTCTCATCAGGCCTCTGCTGTGCCCCAGGAAGCCCCAGACCCAAGGGACAACCTCCCCCCAAAATAAGCGGCTCTCGGGACAAACACTCTCCAAGAGGCCCCGTTGCCCACCTGCGGCAGCCCCTGCCCGGATGGAGGTTGTAGAAGCCAGGGCTACAGAGGCTGCAGTCTCTGCCGGTCACATGGGGCAGGCAGGGGCACTGGCCAGTCACTGAGTCACAGGACATCTGCTCACTGACCGAGCCCACTGGGCTGCAGCTGCAGGCTGTGGGGGAAGCACGAGAGGGGAATCATGCTCGGGGGCGGGGGGGCCCCAATTAGGGAGTGGGGTCCTGAAGAGGCTGAGAAGCTGGGGGTGCCCCAGAGATGATGCTTATTGAGTGCTTCGTGGAAAGGGCTCAAGTCTCAACCATTTGCTATGTTGCTTTGGAAACAGTGGAGGTGGCATAGGCCTGGAATCCCAGCACTCTAAGGAGGCTGAGGCAGGAGGATCTCAAGCTTAGCCTGGGCAATGCAGCCCAGACCCTGGCCAAGACCTGCACTTCCTGTTTCTAAGTTTCTAAGACTCGGAGCTGAAAGGGAGCTTGGAGGGGGCAAGTCCCTGTTCTGTGGAGAGAAGGAACAGAGAGGGGAGGAGCCGGTCAGGGAGGATTCCCCAGCCACCTGTGTGTCCCTAAGCTGGGGCAGAGCACAGGGCGCTGCCGGCCGGCCTGTGGGTCCAGGGGCCGGTACTCACGTGTGCACTTGTCCGCCGGCCTCGGGGCCAGGGCGCTGCCGTAGAAGCCTTCCCGGCACCGCTCGCAGTATGTGCCCGTCGTGTTGTGCAGGCAGCGCAGGCAGCGGCCAGACAGGGGGTCGCAGTTGCCAATGGCGTTCGGATCCATGTTCCCATTGCACTGGCACCGACGGCAGGGCTGGGGGGCTCCAGAGAGCCCCAGCGGGTCCCCAAAGAAGCCGTCATCACAGCTCTCGCAGCGCCGCCCTGTGCGGAGAGGCAGGGGTGACCACTGCTGGCCAGCTGTGCCGGGGAGGGTGGAGGGGCCAGGCCCCACCTGATGCTCACGGGCTGTGTGGCCTGTGGGGAGCTGCAGGGCCTCTCTGACCGCCAGATCCCCAGCTGCAGAGCAGAACAAGCCAGGCGGCGCCCCCAGGGCCCTGGGGACTGTTTCCTTTTCAGTTTGTCTTTTGAAACAGGGTCTTGCTATAGAGCCCAGGCTGGCCTCAAGCTCATGGCGATCTTCCTGCCTCGGCTTCCCAAGTGCTGGCACCATAGGTGTGCGCCACCATGCCTGGCTTCCACTGCCACCTTGACTGTCACTTCCATGGTCATTGTCATCATCATTGTGGTCATAGCTGCCCTCTGCCCCCCTGTCGCTACCTGGTCACTACCTTAACCTTCATCACCATCATCCTGATGGTGACCTCATTAGCAGCTTCTCCCTGGTCACCGTCCATCACCATCCTTCCTGTCACCCCTTTCCTGGCCCCTTTACTTCGGTGTCCCCTGGACTGTTGGTATCACCCACCTGCCCAGTCCTGGGCTGCCGTAGGTCGGCACCCCTTTCTGCTTGGGGCCACTGTGAGCCACAGAGGAGCCAAGAGGAGAGAAGGCTTGGGCAAGGTGGCCCAGGGGGCCCACAGAGGACACAGAAGGCGCGAAAGGATGCACGTGGACGTCACATGGACACCACCCTCCTTTGTGATCACACCCCCCTCTTTGTGTCCACAGGAAGCAGGTGTTTGCGGGATCCAGAGACCCAAACTGTAGCTGTGGAACCACAGGTGGCCAGAAGACTGTCAGTATTTCTACCGTTTCACCATGATGAGAGCATAATAATTTCATACTTTAGGAAATACTGCTTGTCAGCTGGGGGTAGTGGCACAGGCTCTTGATCCCAGCCTTTCAGGAGGTTGAGGCAGGAGGACTGCAAGTCTAAGCTCAGCCTGGACAATTTAGAGACTTAGCAAGACCCTGGCTCAAGATAAAAAGTCTGGGGAACAGCCAGGGTGGTGGAGCACTCAGGAGGCTGAGGCAGAAGGGTTGCAGAGAGTTCAAGGCCAACCTGGGCTACAGAGTGAGTTCGAACCAGCCTGAACGACACAGTGAAAGCCTGCCTCAAAAAGACAAAACAAAACAAAAAAAGTACTGGGGACATAGCACTGGGGGAAGAATCCAGATTCAGTCCCTGATAGTGTCAAAAGAGAGGGGTGCTGGCAGAAGGCCTGAATCGGCAGTCCACCCCAGTGATCCCTCCCATACTGTCCTTTAGCTCTGTCCCATCTGTGTCCAGCTGAAATCTCCATCCGCTCACAGTTGGGGAGCCAGGAGACAGCCGATGGGGAAAAGGGAGAATGCAGAGGGAGAGTGTGGTGGCTGGGTTGGGGACCCAGGTCTCCCCGTCCTCTGTGGTTGGAGGGGCTCGGGGACCTGCTTCTAGAAAGGTCCTGGGTGAGCAGGGCTTTGCACAGGGGGGACTGGATGCCGCGCTGGCCAATGACACCAGGCTGACACGGGAGGTCAGGTGCTGGGAGTTTGCTTCCAGGAGATCCGGGAAGCAGGGCCAGGGCTGGCTGCAGAGCTGTCCCCATCGGTTAATGGGGACAGTCGCTCCGCCTGGGACCGGGAGCAGCTCAGGATAGAGGCCCCGAATGCTGATGACTGTGCCTGAAATGATGGCAAAAGCTGTGCATTTTATGTGGCCTATTTTACCACAATGAAAGATTAATAATGTAATATACAAAAGCCACTTAATTGCAGTCAGTAAGTGGGTGAATCGTCGGGCATGTGACTGCCCCAAAGGCTACTAAAAAATAAAGATCAGATATCCTGGGTGGCTGAGTCCTGCAACAGGAAGGAGAAATGGGGGGGGGGTGCTGGGAACTTGGGGGGCAGGGAGGTTCTGCCTCACATATTACCAGATGGCATTTTTTAAAAGCTGAAAGGTTCTTTTGATGTTTTGAGACAGGGTCTCCCTGTGAAGCCCCGGCTGACCTTGAACTCAAATCGATCCTCTTGCCTCAGCTTCCTGAGTGCTGGGATTGCAGACCTGTGCCCCCACACTCAGCCTAAAAGCTGTAAATTTAGTCCTCACATTCTGCCTTTGCCCTGGGTGGCGATTTCCCAGGGGACCCTTCAGGGCGACAGACCGTGGCCTCTGTCTGAAGCTATGACACTTGGCACCCAGCATGGCATTTTCAGAACTCATTTGAGTGTGCCCAGTTTGGGACAGCACCCCTCAGCAGGCTGGGGTCTTGACCATGGAACTTGAGTGTCCCTGGAGGCCATCCCTGCCACCCTTAAGCTGGCATTTCCCCCACTGGCCACAGTCGGAGCCAGGGACCCACCACCCGAGCCCAGGCAGAATCATGCACGGGGCCTGTGTCTCCCCACGGGGCTCACCTCTCTGGCCCGGGGGGCAGTGGGTACACACCACCTCGCCGCTCTCCGGGATGGCAGTGCAGGCCGACTGGCCGGGACATGGGCAGGGCTTGCAGTCATCGGCTTGGCCCGAGGAGGGGTTGCCATAGAAACCTGTCAGGCAGCGCTCGCAGGATGGGCCCTCGGTGTGGTGGCCGCACAGGCAGGTCCCTGAGGGGCAAGACAAGCACCTGCTGGCCACCACCCCAGACCAGAACACGCTGAGAGGGTGGGCATCCCGGGAAGAGGCCCGCAGCTCCTCCCAGCAGGTGTGGGCCAGGGAACCCAAGCACCCCGGGTTCACAGTCACTACTTGGTGCCCACATCTGCCTGGGCGAGCTGTCTATGGCTTTTACCTCAGTGTCCTTGCCTGAAACATGGGCATCAAGGTGGCCTTGACCTCAAAGGGGCTTTGTCAGGGCTCAGGCAGGTCACACGCTCACAGGGCCCAGCACCCTCCTTGGCACACGTCACCAGCACCTCTGTGATCACAGCTGGCTGGCATCCCAGAGCTGCCACCCAACCTCCAGGAGACAAGGCCAGCGCCTGTTTTCTTTCTTTCTTTCTTTCTTTTTTTTTTTTTTTTGTCTTTTTCATTTTTATCGGTACCAGGGATCGAACTTATAACTGCACACTTGCAAGGCAGGCGCTTATGCTGCTGAGCTAAATCCCCAGCCCCGTTTTTCTTTTTTGTGGCACCAGGGATCAAACCCAGGGGTGCTTGACCTGACCTACATCCCCAGTCCTTTCTATTTTTTGTTTTGAGATGGAGTCTAAATTGCCAGGGGTGTCCTGGAAATGGCGATCCTCCTGCTTCAGCCTCCCAAGTAGTGAAGATTATAGGTGGGCACCCCCACCCTGCTTTCTGTGTCCTCTTAATGTCAAGGTACCAAAGACAAATGGATTCGGTCCAAAGGAGGCACCGACTAGGCATGACCTTAGGCACCTATGCAGGGCTCACCCATGTCTGGTCCGTGGACACCCAGGGGCCCTCCCTGCTGTATGGTGCCTGGAGATGGGGGCTTCTTTGGACCCTTCCTCCAGCCCGACAGTGCCTGTGCCTGTTCAAGGTCTGGGCACCACAAGGGAGGTGCTGTGGCAGGGACTGGATAAGAAGCATGGCTGTAAAAGGGGTCTCCAGAGAGCAGATGGCCGGGCAACTACAGACTCCTGACTCCAGCCAGAGCAGGGGTGACTGCTCTGCCTTGTCATGGAGGACTTGTCCATACTCTGTGAGAAGTCTTGGCAGAGCTGGAGATGACACACTGGTCCCATCCCATGAGAGGACTCTGCTTCCTCAACAGGAGCTGCCTGGAGCATGGCACGGGAGGACAGGGAAGCCTCATCTGGGTTTGATTGGTGATGCTTGCCATGAGTGCATGAAGGGAGGACATCCATGTTCCTGGGTGCCCAGCACCACCTGCCCCGGGCCTGTGGGTGGGGGTGGAGGCCTGTGTGACCTGAGTGGGGACTCTCTGTCTACTCTGCTATGGGTAGGGACCAGCAGCTGGAAGTGACCAAATTGCCCTGGGCAGCCAACCTGGTGGAGGAGCAACTCCACCACTTACTGGTCAGGAGCCGCCTTGTACCACAGGCCCCGCCCTTGTGAGACAGGGCAGGGGTCAGCAGGGCGGTGCATAAAAGGCACTCGGTACAAACAGTGAGCTGGTGACACTATTTGCTATTTCCCAGAGTCTGGACTGTAAGGACTTTGAGCATCTGTATTTCCCCAGGGACCAGTTAATGACACTCAGCTTCAGGATAAACCAGCTCTGTTTCGCATGCAGCCTGGGCGCCTCCCCATCTCCGTGTGGCCTGGCAAGTGTGTCCGAGATCACTGTCCCCACCACACAGGAAGCAGGCTGGCTCAGGGAGGGCAGTGGCTTTCCCAAGGCCACAAACCACCAAGGGGTGAGGCTGGTGGGGCTGGCATGTCCATGGCTCTGGGCTAACACCTGGGAGCTGCCGTCCCATGTGTGGTTCTGTGAATGCCCTCCTGCCGTGGTCACCTGTCACTGTAATGCCCATTTATTTGTTTCCAGACAGGCTATAGTTCAGACAGGGATCCTCCTGCCTCAGCCTCCCAAGTTCTGAGATTAGAGGCGTACATCACTGCACCCGGCAGCCCCTGCCCTCTGTACCACGCGTGTGTGGCAGGACTTCTGAGGATTTCACTGAACTCCTGGAGGAAGAGACTTGTCTAGAGCGGGGGCAGCCACAAGGCCAGCTGGAGGCCTCACTGGATACACATAGCGTCCTCACACAGAGCTGACATGCAGCTTCTGGTGATTGCTTTTATTAAACTAGGAGATGCCCAGGCAGGAGTATAAGCCTGGCCGAATGCCCCTTGCATCCTTGCTAGAGCCTGGCCGAATGCCCCTTGCATCCATGCCAGGCTGCCCCTGTGCAGAAACCATCTCACTGAAGCCCAGGTGGCCTGAGGGTGCAGGGTCAGGGACTCACCTGTACTGGGGTCACAGGTGCCATGCTGGTTACAGGTGCAGGGGACACAGTTGACATAGGGACCCCCCTGCGGCATCTCCCTCTTGTATCCTGGAGCACAGGCTTCGCAGAACTGGCCCGTGTAGCCCTGGGGACATGAGCAAGTCTCCACCCAGGTGGCTGGTGGGGACCGGCCCTGCTGGGCCCGAGCCGATGTGAGCCGCACCTCACTCAGAAGCACCTGGCCTGCGGAGTGAGGAGAGAAGAAAGCTGTGTGTGTCTCCTCACACTTTCCTGTCCCATCTGCAGGGTGACAGGCCACGTCTACAGAGACAGCTATGATTTCTTTTTTTAGTACCAGGAATCAAACTCAGGACCTTGTGCTTGCCAGGCAGGTGCTGTGCCACTGAGCTACATCCCTGACCCAGCTGTGATTTTTTTTTTCCTTCTTTTTTGAGACAGGATCTCACTATGCAGTTCAGGCTGGTCTTGAGCTCACTTTGCAGCCCAAACTGGTTTCAAACTTGGAATAATCCTCCTGTCTCAGCCTCCCGAGGGCTGGGATTATAGGCCTGTACCGCCACACCTGGTTTGCAGCTGTGATTTTTCACAGTCAAATTTTGAGAACAAGAAATAGAAGGGGGAGCTGAGGGTAGATGAGGTGTGAAACTTTTAACACTTCCACCCGGTAAAAGACACACTTCCATGAGCTCCCTTAACATCTCTCCCCTTGAGAGGTGTGATAAAAAGTGCGGTGACCGGTGCTGCTGACCACACCCGGTGGAAAGGTGCTCACAGTGACAGGATGGACGCTCTGTCCTCACCCACCTCACTCGCTGGATTTGGCCGGTGCGACTTCCGGCTCCTCCCAAAGTCTCCACGGTGAGTCAGGACATTAAGGCAGGCACAATTGTGCCACTACAGAGCCTCAGGAAAGAGCACCGCAGAGCAGCTGCAGAGTGGCCGGGACGGCGGGAGGAGTGTGGGAAGTGGGGGAGGAATTCCAGGGCGATTCCTGGCAGTGGGTCCCACGGCGACTCAGTCCTCTCAATGTAAGTGCAGACTCACCTCAGCCAGTGCTAGCCACCTGCTTGGTACGTGTGAGGCCCTGGGTTCCATCCCAGCACCAACACAGAGGGCTGAGAATTCCATGGGAAAATGTCCATTCTCGTGGGTTATTAAAATACAGCAGTTTAAGCAACAAAGAACCATCTTCAAGCCCCAGATTGAACAATGATTTGAAAGCCAGTTGTATCTGGGTAGGTAGTGCATGTCTGTAACCCCAGCACTCCGGAGGCTGAGGCAGGAGGTGCACCCTGAGTTCGAGGGCAACCTGAACTCCCAATCATGGCAGAGGACTGGGGAGGAGTAGAGGCGCCTATCACAGCAACCTTTGCCCAGTGGCCACGCCCACGACCACGCCCACACACTGAAAAAACCAACTCTCAACTCCGGGCCAAATATCAAAATAAAGGATCTGCCACACCGCTGGCAGATGGCGGGCAGACGCCGCCGCTCACAACAGAGACGCGCTCGGCCTTGCGGAGGGAAACTTGGCAGGTTATATTAAATCTGAAATCTAAAATGTGTGTTCCTTGGCCTAACGTTTCCATCCCTAGGGCCTTGTTTGGAAGATGCTCATGGGGAGAAGCATGTACAGACCTCTCCAGGGGGCAGGTCTCCACCTCCTGTGGCCCTGGGTGTCCCGAGGACCCCCAGCATAGCAGTGTCTGTCGCTAGGGCCTGGCTGGGCTCTCTTGCGGGCATCTGTGCCATGGAATTCTACGACGCGGGCAGAGAGCGCTAGACTTTCCTAGGAGTGATGCCGCGGAGCAATGGCTGAGTCATGGTCTCAGAAGCAAGCCCTAGAATATCGCATTGTGCGATCGAATTTCTGTTACTGGGGGGGAGGACTGTCTGGAAACAGGATCTTATCCCTGTCATAGAGGCTGGCCTTGGATTTTATGTAACCCCAGCTGCCCTCGAACTCACAGTGATCCTCCTGCCTCAGCCTCCCAAGTGCTGGGATTACACACGTGAGCCACCACATGGCTCAAAAGTGTATATTAAAAGAAAGAGCCTTAAGAAAGTGCAGGTGGAAAAGTTGAAAGTGACACGCCCCCAAATGGGAAAGGCTTGGGGCTTGGGCTCCAGGGGATAGGTCAGCATGTCCATGTGTCCAGCACACCAGGCTTCTGGCATAGGGCACCTGGTGTTGAGGAGAAGGCACCCTGGGCTCTGTGACCAGGACGGAGAGGATGCTGGGAGGAACGGAAGTGAGGTTTCTGGGGCAGAGGAGAAAGTTGGAGACTCTGGGGCCTGGGGGGCTGTCGGGGAGCTGGTAAGGATGGGGGACGGGTGTGCAGTGAGAGCACAGCTCTGGCTCTGAGGGAGAAAGAGGGAGCTAGAGCCTGAGGGGTCCGACGGGAGCCGGTCACCTAAGCCATGGACTCCCAAGGGAGCAGAGTCACCCAGCAACCCGACAGCCTTTGGTTGTCATGATGGTAGGGTCACAGGGGCTACAGATGCCCTGCCTGGCAGGGAGTAGAGACCGCCTGTCTCTGTGATTTCCCAGCATCCTGTTGGATGCCCAAAAGGCAGAAACCCAGAGGACGTGTGACACCTGGCACGGTGGGTTTACCACTAATGACAGCCACTCTGCCAAGGACCGTCCTCCTCACGAAGCAAGGAAACCAAAGCACCGAGGCTAAGGAAATCCTTCAAAAACAGTACGACAGCAAAGCGCTGGAAAGGAACCACCCGGGCCAAACTCGTGGCCCAGCTCTGCCCACTGTCTTTTGTGAGCGTCCCCACACCACCGTGCTGACGGTGAGATGTGATCGCAACACGGGCAACTCTGTATGTTTTTTTAAAAATTGTCATGGTAGAAGACACACTGCCAGGAATGCCCCTCAAAATTCTTCCCTTTGCTTCACACACGCTCATCCCATCGTGCTGGGCACTTCCGGCAGCAGCTCTGGCGTGCTCTTTCCTGAGGGTCTTTCATTGTGCTGTTGCAGCTTCCTCAGTGTCCAAATGGATCCGAAAGGTTTCCATGGTGGTCACTCTGACAATGGGAGGACCTGGAAGTCACATGGTGCCAGACCCGATAGTAAGGGGGAGGAGGACACAGCGTCCTGTTTTTATGAGCCAGTGGCACCGGGCAGCCGCACTTCTGCTTGCACCTTGGAAAGCCGCTCACAACAGGAAATTTCCAGAGCTTCTTCAGGAAGTGGCAGGAACTCAGGGTAAGTATGTTCCCGGTGGGGGAGGCACCTCGGAGGGACTGGTGACGACATGCCTTTTACTATAATGAACCTTTTGAAGATGCAAACATTCGCTACTCATTTGGTTCACCCTGAGAGTAGAAGCCTCCTGGTGACCGCTGACCCAAACCCCAGCTGTATTCCTGCACCTGCCACCCACAGCTATATGGTGTCATCTGCCATGGAGACACACAGCTTCTGAGCTTGTTTCTCCTGGGCTCGAACTTATGTGGCCATGTTCTCATGGATTCCAGCGTGGGCATGCCTGAATCCTTTTTTATTTATTTTTTGCCTTTTTTTTTTGAGACAGGGTCTCACCACGAAGATCAGGCTGGCCTTGAGCTCACTTTGTAGCACAGGCTGGTCTTGAACTCACAACGATCCTCCCACCTCAGCCTCCTGAGTGCTGGGATTACAGGTGTGCACCACCATGCCTGGTCCATGCCTGACTTCTAATGATTTGAATTCACAGAATGTTTTTCCTTTTCTGCAGCACTGGGAGTGGAATCCAGGAAGCGGTGACCTGTATCCGCAGCCCTTTCTAGTTTGTGGGACAGCATCGCACTAAAATGCCCATGCAGCACTTTAATTCATGACCCTCCAGCTCAGGGTCCCAAGGAGCTGGAATAACAGGTGTGTGCCACCAGGCCGAGCTCAGAGGATTAAAACAATGCTATTTCCTCTCCTTTATGTATTATTTTTATGTAGGTGGTGGTTATTTTTAAGCGCATGTAACTGTAACCAGGAACAAATCAGAGGTTAACTCTGTCCACTGCGAAGACCCAGGGTAAGAGATGGTGGCAAACCTGACTGGTGATGCGCCAATGTGGGTGGGTCCCTCTTTGGGGCCCTTTGATAAAAACAACAAAACAACTCCAGCTGAGACTTGCTCTTTAGGGAGGCTTGGGTGCAATACCATGAGTGACCAGCAGGGGAACCACGGTCTCTGGAAACCCCAGAGCAGTGACAGGGTTCTCCAAAGTATGGGAACCACACCCAGGACAGCAGGCTCTGCTGGCCACGCTCCTGCCCCCACCACCCATCCAGTCCCTACACTGTTCTCAGCCACATCTGATGCTTTTATGCAATGCAAAGCCTAGATGGGCATGGTGGTGCATGTCTGTAATCCCAGCACTTGGCAGGCTGAGGCAGGAGGATCTCTGAGTTTGAGGCCAGTCTGGGCTCCATAGTGAGCTCCTGTTTCAAAAACAAAGGTTGTCCAAAAACAAAGGACACCCAGGCAGAGCGATCTTGTCCAAGCAGGGTCAGTTACTGCTTTCCTGTGGGAATGCAACACAGCCTTGCAGGAGGCGGTCCAGCCCCCTATCCTTGGGTTACCGTGTCAGCACTGACCGGAAAGGCCTGAGCCTTGGCCGCTGGTCCGGATGCACAGGGCAGTTAGGTTGGCGAGGACCCGCTGGAAGTGGAAGGCGGGCAGTGCAGGCAGCGTGTCCTCAGAGGTCTCCTGCAGGCTGCCGGGGACAGGTCACTGTGGGAGGCTGGGGAGGGCAAGCAGGGGACCGCGCACAACAGAGTGTGCAGCACATCCAGCCCCTTATCTGCCCTCGGGATGGAGGAGGACACTTACAGGAAGTGGACCTGTGCCTGCCCCTGCTGCCCGGCGTCCTGGGGAACTGACTGGTCAGAGGGCTTCAGAGCCAGCCTGAGGCCCGCCCCTTCCAGCCTCAGCTGCGTGGGTGGCAGGGAGCCCCCGGGGGGCACCTGGAAGGTCAGGGTGAGGGGCTGTCCGTAGCTGAGCCGCTGGTCTCCCAGGAACAGCTCTGGGGACAGGAGAAGGCTTTGAGGGTCTTCACACACTCTGCTGGGTCCCAGGTGTCTGTTCATTTTATCAGCACGGGAGCTTCGCACCCAGAGGCCAGTACAGCAGGCAGGAAGGAAGGCCAGGCTCCAGACACTGTCCACACCCCGCCATGCCAGTGTGCCATCTGGTACTGGGGACTGAACCCAGGACCTTCACACTAGGGTGCCAGCCCCTTTCGTAATTTTGAGACAGGGTTTTACTAGGTTGCCCAAGCTGGGCTCCAACTTGGGATCCTCCTGCCTCAGCCTCCCAGCATCCTGGGATGACAAGTGGCCACCACCACACCCGGCTTCACCTCTTTATCGCCTAGTTCTTTCCCATCGTGTCATTAACAATGGACAGCTCACTGATCACCGGCAGCATGGGACGTGACCCAGGCAGTCTGCCCCATCCCTAGGCTGCCAGGTACCTGGGGCTGTGAGCTCCTCTTCCTCTGGGCCCAGGAGGACCCCACCTGGGCTCCATCTTGCAGGGTGCTCTGCGCCCCCCGTGCTTCTGACACGCCAGGCCCCGGCTCCTAGGCAGCAAACACAGATCAGACCCTGGGGCCCAGCTCTGCAGGGTTGGTCAGACCTCAGGCCTACCCTGGCCTGCAGGATTCTGCTCTCAATCTGAAGACCCGGGCCCCAGACGCTGAGGTGGGAGGGCCTTGGACCTCGGGACCACCCGAGGCTCGGCCCTGCTTTCTGCACGGCTTCCAGCAGAGGGCGCACTGACCCCGTGTTGGGGTGCCCTGAGCCTGCCGCTGTGGAGCCTGCTCCTCCTGCTCCTAGGGCACAAGCGGCAGGTGGGCTCCCCTGGGGGGCCCACGCAGGCCCCAGCTCGGCCCATTTCCCGCTCCAGAGATGCAGCGGTAGCGGTGCCTCTCAAAGCCTCACCCGCCCAGGAGACTGCAGAGAGAAAGCGCAGAAGCAGAGGCCTCGGGAAGAGCATCTGTGAAATGGAGCCAGAGCTCCCACCTTCCGGGACCCAGAGACCTCTCTAGGCAGGCGGCTCAGCCCAGAGCCTGGCACACAGCAAGTGCTCAGTAAGTGCAGGCCAGAGGACTGAGGCCGGATCCCCCTCGATTAGGGCTCCAAGGAGGCTGAGCCCCACGCCCACCTACCCAGCCTGCGGATGCCTCCCAGGGGACAAACCCTGGAGGGCCAGGACAGGGAGGGCCTGGGATCCACAGGGGAGGGCCAGGAGGGGGAGGGCCTGGGATCCACAGGGGAGGGCCAGGAGGGGGAGGGCCTGGGATCCACAGGGGAGGGCCAGGAGGGGGAGGGCCTGGGTTCCACAGGGGAGGGCCAGGAGGGGGAGGGCCTGGGTTCCACAGGGGAGGGCCAGGAGGGGGAGGGCCTGGGATCCACAGGGGAGCCACCGCTCTTCCATCCTCCAGCCTTCGGCCCTGCTCCAGGTGCCCTTTCTCCAGCCGGGCACCGCTTACCGTGGCGGAGGCTGGAGAGGACGTGGTGCGCCTGGAACCCGGCAGCGGCTGTGCACGCCTTGGAGTGGCCGTAACAGAAGCAGCTGCTGCAGCCGGCTGGGTTGTGGAGCTGCAGGTTAAAGGTCCCAGGGCGACATCTGGGAGGGACACAAGACAGGCCGGGGGACCATGTGACCCACCGGGAAGGACCAGAGCCAGGGTTTCCAGCAAGGCTCAGACAGGGTCACTGGGGAAAATTAAAGTATGCTGTTTTTAAACCCAGCCTGGCGATGCACACCTGTAATCCCTTCCCAGCACTGTGGGAAGCTGAGGCAGGAGGCACTGGGGGCTCCCCAACACCTGCTTCTCCAGCAGTCACCCCTCCACCCCTCTGCCCTGCCTTTCCCTTCCTTCTGCCTCTCCACCCTGATTATCTGGAATCCTGCTGGCATGCTTTGTCCCTTGCCTATTTATTTACCCATCAGCTATTTACACCAGTGGTGGAGCTGTGTTTACTTAGTCTCTAGGCTCTAACACAATCCACTGTCATTTATTTTGCTACTTGAGCTGCTCCAGCTTTAGGAGCCGTGTTAGGGGCTCCTGTGTTCTTCTGCAGGGGCCTGGCCCGATGTGGGTTCTGGTCAGGTTGCTCAGGGCTGAGGGTGGGACCTGGGCCTACTGCTCACTCCGCAGGCACTGTGCTGTAGCCTGGGTTTGGTTTTTTAAGCAATTTTTTTGATTTCTGTGGGGCATGGTAACAGCTCTGGGCTCATCTAGTTTTTTGAGATGGGGTCTTACTACACAGTTCAGGCTCACTTTGTAGCCCAGGCTGATCTTGAACTTGCAATGATCCTCCTGGCTTAGCTTCCCGAGTGCTGGGATTACAGGTGTGCACTACCATGCCCAGCTCTGGGCTCATGAAATCTTTCTCCTGCTAGCCCCAGACATAAGCAATTTTCCAGCAGCCCTGGGAAAGCCCTGCGTCCTGAATACAGATTCCTGGTTTATATTCATGGGGTTGCATCCGAGCAGGCCTGGTGGATTCACCCTGACACCCAGTAAGCTCAATGAGCTCACTAGTGGGTAAACTGAGGCACAGAGGAGAGGACCCTTTCTGGACTACAAGGCATTGGGCAGACCCAAGAGAACACCTAGGCCCACCTGGCTGCAGACTCCACCCTGCAGCCAGGCAGCCCCTGGGGAGGAAGACTTGACAGACAGTGCCTGGGGCAGCTGGGGCTGACCTGGGTGAGCACCGAGGGTGGGACCAGCCAGGTGTGCCTGTCAAAGGCTTCCGATGTGACACAAGGCCCGAGGCCCGGAAGTATGTGTCCAGGGAGGCAGAGCCACGGTCTCTGCACCACGGCCAGCTCTCCTGAACCCTTGAAAGAAGTTTAGGGCACGGGGCCTTGGGAAAGTGCCCTCGTCTCACTGAGTTCCAGACACTCTGTTTGCACCATGATAGGGTTGTAAGGACAGCAGTGCCCCAACCTCGGGTCAGCTGGTAAGGCCCTCATGTGGCAGGGCACTAAGGTCACTGTAGGCCCCACAGCAAAGGCTGCTGCCTTCCATTAGTGATTTCTGCTGGGGGTGTAGAATGGCAGGGATGCCACAGCACTCCATTAGTAATGTCTGCCGTATGGTGGAGGAGAGCTGTGACAGGGTTCCACTGGTGATGTCTGTCCTGAATGTGAGTGGGAGGGCTGTGATGGCAGTGCTCTACTAGTAATGTCTGCTGTGAGTGTAGAATAAGGGGTCTGTGATGGTAGTGCTCCCTGAGTGATGTCTGCTGTGAGTGTGGGGTGGGAAGGCTGCGATGTGATTACTGTATATTTACTACTTGCATTTGATAAGCTCTTCCTATTTTTAAAAGTTCTTTATCAGGATATTTATTTTGAGAGACAGAGAGTCAAAGAATTTCACTACATAGTTGTGGCTTTGAACTTGTGATGATCCTTCTGTTTCAGCCTCCTGAGTGTTGGGGTTACAGGTGTGTGCCATCATACCTGACCTCAGGATTCTGAGCTTGAAAAAAAGGTGTGTTTGCTTATTTAGGAAACACCAGTGGTGTTGAATCAAAGTGTAAACTGTGCCCTGAAGCCTCCTGGAGGCTTTGCAGATGGCAGATCCAAGGTGCTCCTGGAAGGGTGTGGGGTGACAGGGTTGACCGTCTACAAGGACATCCCCTAGCTGCTCCCCCAACTCCACAGCCTCGGCACGCATCACCACCCCAAAGGGCACTGCCAGCCGCTCCCTGCCGACAGGAGCACTCACCGGTCACACAGGCTGCCTTCCACCTTCTGTTTGCAGGGGCAGCTCCCACTGCGGGGGTCACAGGTCCCCAGGCTGCCCGCCGCACTGCAGGCGCAGGGTCTGCCAGAGAGCCAGCAGGGGGACAGGTGTCGGACAGGCACCTCCAGGAAGGCCCCCCGCTGCGCACAGTGCAGCCCTGCCCACGCGCCTGCCCTCCCTCCGCTCTTCACCAGCACCCACGCCCGACCCACTGGCCTTCACTCCGTGCCCCGTCACCTGGCCTGCAGCAGGCGCCCTTCCACCCCTCACGTCTTCACCCTTCCTGCCTTCCACTCCCCGTCTCACTCCACTCATCCACCTGGCCGTCCTCCCAGCCGTCCATCCACCCATTCTCTCATCCATCCATCCATCCATCCACCCATGTCTGTCCTTCCTTCTGTGCATGCACCCCACCCATCTACTCCCCGTCTGTCCCCCCTCCCTCGCTCCCCCTTTTTCCCTCCCCCCATCTGCCCAGTCTTGGTTCCCGCCCTCACTGGTCCCGCCGTCCAGTGAGGCAGACAAACACAGAGGCTGCACTGCGGAGGCATCAGACTAGAGGTGAGGACACCACAGAAGGGCATCCGGGCCATCCTGGGGGAGGCGGCAGGGGCGGGGGACAGCAGGCTTCCTGTAGTGTGCCAGACACAGGCGGAGGAAGGGCCAGTGCGAGGTCTGAGGCCCGGACCTGGGGAATCATCCGGGTCCTCCTCGTGGGCAGAGCCACTGGTGTTTTGCCAGGAACCTGAGACTCTCCAGGCCCGGCCCACGCAGCTCCACCGCCTTTCAGACAAGGAGGACGCTGCTGTGACCGAGTTTGCTACCTCACCCGGCACACTTGTCCCTCCAGCCACAGCGGCCTTGTGCCGGGCGGGCTGGGCTTTGCAGGACATGGCGGCGCCCCCACCCCGGGTCTCAGCCTCCCTGGGCCTGGGTGCCTTTCCTCCTGTGGGGTACGTAGCACCCCAGACAACTGGATGGCCAAGGTCCCTCCTACACACTGCACCTTGTGCAGCCCTCACCTGCAACCGCCCTCACTGAGAGAGTGGAACCCGGGCAGGCAGCGGTCACACTTCCAGCCGGTCACCAAGGGCTTGCAGGGGCAGCTGCCCGAGGCATCACACTGGAGGCGCAGGGAGCCTGGAGAGGAAGGCACAGGGCAGCGGTGGCCAGGACGGGCCTGAGAGTGGGGGCTGGGTGGGGCCACTCACCTGCTGGGTGGCAGTCGCAGGGCTGGCATGGCGCCCGAGCATCCCAGCGGTAGAAATTCTCCTCGCAGCGCTCGCAGTGTGGCCCAGCTGTGTGGTCGCGGCAGCCGTGGCAGTGCCCACCGTGGCCCGTGCTGCGGAAGAGCTCGAGGTCGAAGGTGCAGTTCTCCGAGCGGCCGCTGCAGTTGCAGGCTGGAGGCGGGAGGTGCAGAGGGGGTGTGTGAGGTGCCCTGACCCTGGCAGGAGGGGGCTCCGTGCCAGTCTCCCTGTGCTGAACAAGTAGGCAGCTCAGGGCAAGTGTGTGGCCTCCAGGGTAGAGTTCAGGCCTAGCTTGATCAAAGACAAGGACACTGACTGATCTTCCAAATAATGAGTTAAGATTTTAGGGCACAACAATGAGCCCATCTCAATCGCACCGTGTGCTTGGAAGAGGTCGTAACTATGCCCAGGGTGGCCGGGCTGCTGTGTGTGGTGTTCACCAGGCAGACGTTACGTTCCTTTTGCCCCAAGATATCTTGAGCATTACTGGCCTCTCACCTGCAAAGAGCTAGGAAACGGCCCGCTTTATTATTTTTTTGCATCACCCTGTGATATCAACAGTCTTTGGACACAAAAGACATCCTTCTGTTCGTAGCATCTCACTTTCAGTAGTGGCATTTCTGTTTACACAATGTAGTAGTTCTTTTGTTAAAATTAAATTAAAAAGATTTGAGATAGGGTGTTGCCAAGCAGTTTTGCTTGCTTTTAACTCGTGGTGATCTTCCTGCCTCAGCCTCCCACGTGCTGGGAGCGGCATGCCCAGCACTAGCTCCTGATGGCTGAAGATTAAATGAACATTGGCAGGAAGCTGCACTGTGTTTTCTTTTTGTCTTTTGAGACAGGCTTTCACCATGCAGCCAGGCCAGCCTGGACCTCACTTTGGAGCGCAGGCTGGCTTTCCTACACCAGAAAAGAGAAGTACAGGGGAGGGACAGGCTGAACCTGCATTTTGGAAAAAGCCTGGGCTGCCGGCAGAGGGAGCTGGGGGTGGGGAGAGCAGAGAAAGGAAACTGAGGCAGCAGAAAAGAGGTGACATCACTGGCCATGAGCCAGCTGCCCGGAAAGGCACCATCAAGGCGGCTTCAGTGGTGTCCATGGCGCAGGACTCAGGCTCAGGCTCTGCCGGGGCTGGGGTGAGCGGAGGGTGAGGGCTCTGGGCAGGAAACCCCAGGTTCCAGGCTGTACCTGGGGGACAGGAACTGACCACAGCAGGGACGTGGCAGGAGGGGGGACCCGGGCCTCTGTGTCCCTGCTGTGAAGCTCTCAGTCGGCTTGGGGCGTGAGAGCCGGCACCAGGGCAGCTGGGACACGTCAGCAGGCAGCGCCCATGTCCTGGAACAGGCTGTCCCCTCCTTGCCCCAGTGCTGGCCGCCAATGGGCCAGGACCAAGTGGACGGCAGTGCCAGGAGGTGCAGCCAGGGGCCAGCTGTGAATGGGGCTACCCTGGTGGCCAGGAACCAGTGTCTGGTGATGCCTGGTGACACCTGGTGACAACATGGCTGCGTGCAGATCCCCCGACAGAAACTGGGTGACCGTGCATGGACCCCAGGCCTGGCTGGGCAGAGTGGCAGCTGTGAGGCCAGGCAGGCGCCTCTGGATGGCCTTGGGCTGGGGGCCACTAGAGGAGAAGCCCGAGGCCCCGATGCACAGTGCCCCCTCGTCTCTGCAGTAGCGCGGGGACCCCACACCATGCCCAGTCCTCGACACCAGGACACTCACGCAGACACTCGTTGGCGGTCCGGGCGGTGGCCCGGGCCCACGGGCGGTCCCGGAAGAAGGGCAGGCAGCGCTCACAGTCGGCACCCGCGGTGTGGTGCTGGCACCGGCAGACCAGCTGGCCCGCGGCGTCGGGGCCACACTCGCTGGCATGGCCGTTGCACTTGCACCTGAGGAGAGAAGGGAGGAGGAGGGGACCTGGGGGCAGCAGGGGATGGGTGCCCCGGGGGCTGCCGTGTCACCGCTGTGCGAGCCCCAGTGCCAGCCCCAGCCCCAACCTCTGCTCAACACCAACTGTCCAGATGCCCTGTGCAGGAGGCAGGGACCTCGATGTCCCCGTGTCACTAATAAACAGACAGAGGCTCGGCCGTCAAAGGCACAGACCCTAAGTGGCAGAGCTCAAGCCAAGGTTGTGCCGTCTGATCCACGCATGCCCAGAGCTCAAGGTCACAGCGCCCATGAACTGTGACCCTGCTGGATCCCCAGAGCATCTCCTGACGGGGGGACAGGGTGTGGGAAAGGCGTGTGGCTCTGCCTTCCCAGAAGCCTGGGGTGGGTGGGCAATGCCCCCACATTTCCCTCAGGGTGGGCGGGCACCAGGCAGCCTCAGGAGACGGTGAGCAGGAAAGCAACAGGGGACCCCTATCCCCAAGAGGGTGTCATGAACACCCCTACCGGTGAAGCCTCTGAGCAAAGGAACAGCCTGATCGCCCTCTGACTGCAGGGCCACCTGCACGGCCAGCTGCCCGACTGAGGGTGGTCTGGCTCCGCAGCTGGGGTGCAGATGTTCCCTGGCACGAGGCCCTCTGAGAGCAGCCCGGGGCTTGCGGCATCCGCCAACCCAGGAGGTCCGAGCTGACCCGCGGGGTGTCGAGTAGAGGGTCCTCACTGCTGTCCCCCTCCCAGGGCCCAGCCCCTCACTGCTGTCCCCCTCCCAGGGCCCAGCCCCTCCCAGAGCCTGCAGACGCCTTGAGTGCAGGCACTGGGCCACATCCCTTTCCGCCCTCTGATGTCACCTGAACCTGAGGCCTAGAGCTATTTACCGTCCTCACCATCCACATCCGCAGCCCACCCAGTGACACAGTGGGCTGCTTCTCCAACCCAAAACGGCTCTTGGGTCCTAGCTGCCCGCTGGCCACCACCTGCTGGGCCATGCCGCCTGGCTGCTCAGGCGGACCGGGCCTCCTCTCTGTCCTCCGCTCACCAGGGTGTTCCTGCTGACCCCTGCATCCCCAGCCAAGTCCTGGGACAGCCCTCACCATGGACCATGGCGGGGAGTGGACCCTCGGCCCTAACCCCCTTCCGACCCAGCCTCCAGCGCTGTGGGGCCAGCCCGTGGGACACGGGCTCAGTATGTGGCCGCCTACCCAGGCTGTGCCAGGTGGGGCCGAGGACAAGGACGGAGCCCATGTCTCCGGCAGTCCCTGCTTCCCCGTACGAGAAGACGCTGGGCCACACACTGACGCTGAGAGAATGGGGACTCGGGCTGGGAGGTGGGCAGCAGGGTGTCTCTCTTGGCCAGGCGGTCACACGTGTCTCATGAGAAGGGGGAGGGAACCCCCAGCCCAGGCAGCAGCAGGTACAAGGCACGGGCTCGTGGGGCAGAGTCAGCCAGCCGGCACTCAGCAGCCAGAGCTGAGGCAAAGCTCTCAAGTGCTGGCCTCGGGTCCCTCCTGTCCCCTGGGTCACCCGAGAACATCTGCACCTGCACAGCAGCCACGGGAGCTGCCCACGCGCTCACCCTCCTACCTGCCGCCCACGGAGAGGTCGGACACGGCGTAGTAGTAGGACCGCAGCACCCTGGGGTCCCCGAAGATGTCATCCCCGAACGTGTTGAGCCGGTCCAGAGAGACAAGGAGCTCGGTACTGGTGACCCAGTCCTGGGGGCAAGCGGGGACCCCATCAGCGCCAGGCTGGGACAAACCTGAGGGCCGGGGCCACGCTCCGGCTGGGCACCTGCGGGCTGGGGCTTGGTGTGTGGGGCCTCCGTCTCCCTGTCAGGGGAGGGGACTGGGACAGGGACAGCGGTGGCCCAGAGAGCTGCTGGGGGAAGGGCCGTGGGTATGAGTGTGGGACCATGTGGGAAGCACAGGGGAGCTGGGGCAGGCATGGGCTTGGCGGACCCGAGGACCGGGGTCCCCTGCCTCCTCCGGGCCACTCCTGTGCCCCAGTGAGAGGACAGGTGACAGCTGTCAGGCCCAGAGCCCCTTTCCTACTCCCCAGGCCCAGCAGGGTGGGCTGCAGGGTGCCCAGCTCGTCCCCTGCTGAAGGTGACATTTCTCCCAGCTGAGCGTAACCCCATGAGAGCGAGACTTGGGTCCCCCTCATCCTCGCCGTATCCTTGGCCCGGGGCCCTGTCTGGCACCCAGCTGGCACCCAGCGACCACTCCCTGCCACTGAACAAGCACCTTCGCGTGCAGAGCAGGGGCAGGAGGCGGGGACCCATGCGGAGGCTGACATTTCCCTCCGCCTGATGTTATAATCAGGTGCAGGCCTGGCGGAATATTAATCAGCAGTTAATTCGGCCCAGGGGCCCCGGGGAGCAATCAGGACATCATGACAGCTCCTGGCAAAGTTGCTCCTCCCCCGCCCTGCTGAGCAGCTTCCGGGGACCCCCACCTGCACCCCAGATCTGCTGCCACCATCTGGGTGTCCTTTTGCTCAGGAGAGGGTGCAGCACCCACCACCCCAAACAGAGGGCACCTTGAGCAACTGTGCTCCCTGAGTTACCCAAGGCGGAGCTGTTAAGGTTCAGAGTGCACCCAGAGATTGGTTACCATGTGGCTCCTGGGATTTCTGTTTCTCTGCGCAGTGCAGCGGTGGCATTCAGCTCACCGTGGAGCTGCAACCCGGCCTGAGGGTCTGCGCTTCCAGCAAGGGTCCAGGGGCTCCCTGGAGAGGCCCAGGAGCTGGCAGCCATGGTGGACATGCTGAGTGTGACTTTGAACTGTCCCCAAGTGCCACCAAAGCACTTGGGCCCCTCCCCGGGCATCCCAGGTGGTGGGAACAGGGCTGGCTCTCTCATGTACATTAGGCTTCACCCTCAGGGCAAGGCATCTTATCACTCCTCCAACCCCCGTTTACAGAACGGGAAACTGAGGCAGTGCAGGGCAGTGTTCTGGGCCCTGAGTACCACCAGTCATGGCTGACAGGGATGCAGGTCGAGCAGAGCCCAGGGCCAAGCTCTGACCACAGGTGAGCCTGCCTTCCCGTGCCAACCAGGGTGCTCGAGAGGGCAGAGGCCTGGCTGCTGCCTCCTCCGCCCCGTCAAGGAGTTCCTGTGCCTGCCCTTCAGCCCGTGACCATAGCGGTGACAGGACAGGCTGGAGGCCTCTGAGACACAAGACAGGGCTGGGGAGGGAGCCACTGTCCCTCAGCCTGGCTGGCTTAGAACTCACTGTGCAGCCCAAGCTGGCCTTGAACTCTCAGTGATCCTCCTGCCTCAGCCTCCCGAGTGCTGGCATGCCATCCTGTGCACCCCCACCCACGGCAGCTTTTGCAGTCTGTAATGGCTCTGGCTAACGCTGCAGGTGGCACCTGGCATTGCCTTTGCCCGGATCCCAGGATCCAGAGCGAGGTGTTGGGGTTGGGGTACCTGCCTGGGGTGTGCAAGGCCCTGGGTTCCAGCTCTAGCGCCACAAAATGATTTTAACAAAGGAAGCCACAGGGGCCACTGGCTTTGGTTTTGTGGTCCGGGAAGCCACTGGGCTCTGGTGCTCCGACAGCGATGACCCCAAGGGACCCAGGACCCAGAGCCCAGCAGCTACACAGATGCGCCTCTCATCCTCCACCCCAAGGGGCTCTGTTCTCTGTGGGACCCCCTATGGGTTCAGGCAAGGTCTCTCCCAGAAGCAGCAGGGCAGACATCTCTGAAAAGGTCATTTCTTCATCAGGGACAATGGCTGGGGCACAGGAGGTGGTGAGTCAGGACGTCTGCTGCCACCAGCCCCCAGGGAAGCTGCCCCGAGGAGACAGCGGCAGGGGCATGGGTGGAGGTGACCCAGTCCCTTCCTCGGGACTTCATCACCTCACGTGGCATCTTCTAACCCACGGAGCTTGGGGCCCCAGGGGGAAGAAACTGACCTTAAACAAAACCAGGCTGATGACCTGGGGAGCCAGGCAGGGCCTGGGCACTGGGGGACTCACCCGGCCCAGAGGGCTCTGGCCCACTCCAGGGCGGAAGGCCTCGAGGGCCTGGAGTGTCCTCCCTGACGCCGCCAGGTCTCCCTTAGGCCACTGCGTGGAACTGACCTCCGGAGGGACCTGTGATCACGGTCAGCCATGCAGGAGAACCTGGGACATCAAGGCCCAGGCAGGTGCTGTGTTATCACCCGGTGCTGCTGGAGGAGTCCCCGGAAGGGACAGCAGAAGCCCAGCCAGGCCCCTGGGGCCGCCCGGGGCCTCCTCCCTTCACTGATTCCAGGCTGCATTGTCCTATTGCAACAAGCTGTCACTGCAAGGATGGTGAGCGTGTGGGTCCCTGCAGCGGATCCTGGAACCTGGCAGCGGCCTTGGGGACCCCGTGCCGGGTCAGCTGGGGGGCCCAGTTGTCATACTGTGTGGCCTGGGCAGGACTAAGAGCCCCTCACCACCCCAGCGAGGCAGGAGCTCCTCCGGTCTCAGCTGAGAGCCATCCCTGCCTGGCTGCTTCAGCTGGATGCATCTGGGTCCCGAAGGCCACAAACCTGAGTGTCCCTGTGGAGGGGCCATGACATCACCATGAGCACTCATCCTTCAAGAGGAATCCTCTCTGCCTCTCGCCCACCTTACCGCTGTTCAAAGCTGCCCACCGCAGCAGGCAGCCACTGGCCCTATGCGGCCACTGGCATTAAATTCATAAAATTAAACAGAACAAGCCGGGGGTAGCAGCCCATGCTTGTTCTCCCAGCACTCTGGGAAGCTGAGGCAGGAGAATCACAAGTTTGAGCCCAGCCCGGGTAGCTGTCACAAAATAAAAACTAAAAAGGGCTGGGGATGGAGGTCAGTGCAAAGGTCCTGGGTTCCATCCTCAGTGCTGTAAAAAAGAAAAACTAAAATGCACAGATCAGGGCTCTGCAGTCAGGCAAGGCCGGGGCCTCGGCACTGGGCAGGGCACCCTTGGGAGCTCCGCTGACCCAGGCTTTCCCGAGGCACTGAACCCCAGACCTCACACCCAGGGTACGGGACCGGCCCTGCCATGGACTGCCAGTGGGGAGGCAGCGACGGCACTGTGGAACGCTCCCATTGTGGCCAGACACTCAGCAGGCTCTGGCCCCGCCCCCCAGGTCATCTGTCCCCCTGCAAAATGCCTTTGTCCCTCCAGGCTTCTTTCCACACGTACAAGGACGGGTCAAAGTGAGCTTGGGGTCACCATGGGGCTCCCGGGCCGCAGGGCTGCGCCACAGGAGGCCGGGAGCGAGGCTTCCCGTGCCAGAGCAGGACCTCTCCAGATCCTCTCCTTTGCCTGCTCCTCCCTGGCCTCGTTCTGGGTGCCTTCCCTTGGAGCTACACCCCAGAACTTTTTGGGGGTGCATGGCCAAGACAGGGCCTCACTATGCAGTTCAGGCTGGCCTTGAACTTGAGGTGATCCTCCCGCCTCAGCCTCCTGAATAGCTGGGGCTGCCGTGGGCGCAGTGCCATCTGTGCCTTCACCGGGCCTCCAGGGCGTGCAGCGTGAAGCCCAGGTGGTCTCACGGTCCCCGGTGCCACCCCAGCCCCTGGCCAGCTGCTCTACCTGCAGCCCTGGGCTGTCCTCGAAGCTGTAGGCGCTGGGCCGGCCCTCCAGCGTGGAGAAGGCCACGTTGCCCCCGCTCAATGGGGAGATGTCGCTGAACTCCGATGTGCAGAAGGCCACCCGCTCGTCGTCGCCGGGCCGCAGGGAGTGGCCCTCAGGCCGGCCGTAGGTCCTCTGGCAGGAGGCGCTGTAGAACTGGTAGGGCTCCCAAGGGCCACCCGGGCGGCTGCGCTTGTAAATGGCAAAGCTCTCGGGGCGGCTGGTGTGGAACTTCAGCCTCACGTAGCTGATCTCATAGGCCTTCCCTGCAGGCGGGGAGATGGGCCCATTTCACAGACCGGAAGGGACAGGAGCCCTGCTCAGAAATTTCATTCTGTTTGCTTTTGAGACAGGGTCCCTCTGCGTAGTCCAGGCTGGCCTTGAGCTCACTATGGCATAGTCCAGGCTTGCCTCCAACCTGCAGGGATCCTCCTGCCTCAGCCTCACCCAGCTAATACCCAATTTTATCTTTCAAAGGATACCACTGAGAACAAGTAAAGGTGGCTGAGGACGGGAGAAGGTGATCGCCAGCCACATACCTGACCCTGGACTTGCACCTGGGATATATAAAGAATTCTTACAACTGGATAATAAAAAGATAAACATTCCACTTTAGAAATGAGCACAGGGTCAAACAGAGAACTCCCTAAGATGGAAGAATGGCCGGGGAGGGCCAAAAACACGCTTGACATCATTGTCCACCTGGGAAATGCGCAGGTGACCTTCCTGGGTGGCCACACCCAAGGATGGTGGAGACCTGGGACTTGGAGGGAAACCACAGCCCCCATATGATGCTAGAGGCAGGGACACCTGCTCTGCCAAGCAGCCCAGGGGTTCCAACACCCTGTTTACAGCAACACAGCACACCACAGCAAGTCTGGGAAGTGGACTCCAGGTCCACACAGAGGAGGAGACTAAGACAGTGTTTACACAGTGTGGAATACTACACTACCACAAAAAGGGGACAGCCAAGGCGTCTCTAGGGAAATGACACACCTTGAGACCATAACAGTCCGGGAAATAAGCCAGAGGCACAAGCCTAATACCACACAGCTTTCTGTAGAAGACAAACCCACAGCATAGAGAGCGAGGGGAGGGCACGGAGAGCTGGGGGGAGGAAACAGGGACACGGCCGGGCCCACTGGGGAGCGGGGCACAGGGGCAGGCTGAGCCCGGCCTGAGCAGCCTAGGTGACTTAGCATGAATCCGTCTCAAAAAGGGGGTTGAACCCAGGCACTGCGCGCTGCGCGGGTAGCTGGGTACGGAGGCCCTGGGTTCGATCCCCGGCTCCTCCCTCACACTCTAAGAGTGAAACACAGACCCAGAGCCCCGGTGACCCCGAAATCCCGCTCCTCAGCATGGCCCAGAGACCCGGCCTCCGTCCTCCCGCAGACTCCAGGAGCATTCACAGCGGAGGAGCCACAGGGTGCCAGCCCAGGGAAAGACAGCACTGGCCACGGGTCAGCATTGCACCCGTCTCGCTGGTCCTATGCACCCCGAACAGGGGAATCCAGGGCGGGAAATGGAACGGGGTCACGGGCAGGGGTCAGGCAGAGGCTGGGGAGCAACAAGAGGTGACTGTACAGAAGGGGCACAGGGCTTCTTCTGGGGGGTGATCTGGGGATGGACCCCAACTCTGTGAGTGTACAGAAACCAATGCACCGTAGTTTCAGATTTTTTTTTCTTGCGGTGCTGGGGTCACATGCTAGGCCGGTGCTCCCCCTGAGCAGCACCCCAGTCCTGGGCTGCAGAGCCACAGTGGGTAAGAGAAGGAGCAAGTGAACAGCATCACGATGGACTGTAGTACGGCTGCCATCCAAGCCCCAAGAGGCAGGCCTGGTGCCGCAGGTCTGTGATCTAAGCACTCGGGAGGCTGAGGCGGGAGGATCAGAGAGTTGGAAGCCTGCTTGGGCTAAATAGTGCATTCAAGGGCTATACCGAGAGACCTTGTCTCAAAAAAACAAAACAAGAATAAGAACCAGATAATAACAAGGCACGGGGAAGACCCTGGGGGAGACACACTCCGTGCACCAACGCAAACCAGACACAGGGTGGCAGTTCCTCAAAAACTAAAACCAGAATTATCGAAAGATCCAGCACCCTCAGAAATAAAAAAAATGGGGTCTGGAAGGGACATATGTCCACTTGTGTTCACTGTGGCACTGTTCACAAGAGCCCAGAGGGAGAAGGAACCCACCAGTCCACCAGATGCACAGCCGGGGATGAACAGAGTGGAATATTACTCTGCCTGGAGCAGGAAGGCAGTTCTGACCCTAGAACCTAAAACTTCGTGAACTCAGAGAACGTTACATGAAGTGACAGAAGGCCGACACCAAAAGACAAACACTGCAGGACTACTCTCTCGGGAGCCCCTGAGGGTGACCAGTTATGGAGTCTGATGGTGGCGCAGGGCTGCCAGGGCCCCGGCGAGAAGGACACTTAGTGGCTCACGGGACAGCTCTGTCTCACCACATGAAAACAGCTGCAGGGTGGACAGTGGTCAGGGGTACACAAGGACTTGAGGGTGCTGAATGCCACCGCAGGGGACACTTAGGAGCTTCTAAGACGGTTACGTGTTTACCACAATAAAGGAAAACTGTAGAGAGATGAATCCGCTGGCCCCGGAGGAAGCCCCAGGCAGACAGCAGCGGGAAGGTTCCCAGGCCCGGACCGGGGATCCGACTCTGGGGGGAATTGGGGACACTACAGGACGTTAATTCCTATAATTCTGCACCCCGAAACAGTCCGTGGAAAGTTTGCAATAGACAGGGAGAGCCGAGTCAAGGTGCTAAACTGGAAAAAGAAAAAAAGACACAAAATACTGCGGGCGGGCAGAGCGATCTGTTTGGACTACACAGTCCCTAAACGCCAGGCCCACACCTGCAATCCCAGCCTCGCACGCACGGGAGGCTGAGGCAGGCGAACCGCGAGGCCCTGGCTCAGAGTAAGAGATGCAAAGAGCCGGGCTGGCGCTGGGCAGGCTGCTCGCCTGGCGTGGGGGCCCCCAGGGAGGCCCCGGTTCAACCCCGCGCTGAGAATAAATCAGTATTTTAAGGTAGCGAGGCTAGAAAGGAGAGGCACCCAACAGGGCGCCCCGTCCCGGGAACTCGGAGAGATTCTTTTCTTCTCTTCCTGTTGTTTTTTTCCTGTATTTCCCCCAATTTTCTCTCATGAGCCTTGTTCTAATTTAAAAACTGGAGAAAACACAATTTTTTTAGTTTTTTAAAAAAGCAACCGCCCTGCTGGCTTCCGTTTTAAGATGTTTTCCAAAGCAGCTCTGCCTGGCACCGGGGCTCCGGGTCCCCATAAAAGCAAGCGTGCCACACCCGCAGAGTGGGGATCTGGGGGAGCCCCGTGTGTGTCCCTGTGCAGGGGTGCAGACAGGAGGCCCCGAAAACTCTAGCCCCCGCCACCGCCGCTGCTCCAGAGTGGGGGCCGGACCGCTGAGTCTGGGGCTCACAGAATAGCGGCAGCTCCAGGAGGGGAAGGCGTGGCAGGCGGGACATCACAGCCTCGCAGCGGGGTGGGACAGCTAATTAGGAGGCCGGGAAGCAGCTCAATCCCACGCAGCCCTGAGAAGCTCCCGCCCAAGGCACTCAGTACAGGATAAAGAGGAGATAGCAGGCCCTAGGTGGGAGCCCCAAGCCTTACGGGTGACAGGTATGTCCCCTGGGGTCATGGTGTCATCCTGCTGTTCACTGGCTACGGGACAGTGCGGTCCCCTCCCCTCTGGGCCACCCATAGGTGTGCTGTTCCCGCTTCCCAGAATGCTGCTCCTCCTCCCCTACTCGCCCCCTGCAGGGTCCTGTGCCGCCCCACTCCTGCCCCTGCCCCCCCCCAGCACCTACTACACACCAGGCACCTTGCTGAGTCCTTTGTTTGTTGTTATTTTAGCCAGGGTCTCACTGTGTACTTCACACTGGCCAGAAGCTCGAGGTGATCCTCTGCCTCAGCCTCCTCAGCCCCCAGAAGCTGCCCGGGGAGGGACGTGAGTGTCCCCACTGCCCGCCCTGCTTCACACCAGGAATGCCAAGCCAGGTCCTCCTCAGCCAGCTGGCTCCAGAAACCCAAGGACGCCACTTTTGAGGCCGCCACCACATCTGGGAGGTCCAAAGCCAGCACTGCCGCCCCAGAAGGAAACAAAGCCTTTAATTGGAGCCATCTGGGTGCAGGGGGGTGCAGGGAGGGCAGCGCGAGCGGGGCTGGGAACCCAGGGCCCAGGGGCAGCAGAACCGGGCAGGGGAGCTGCTGCCCGCCTGTGGGCTCCCTGAGGGCTCCCCAGCTGGGCCACCCACGCTCCCTGCCCCTCCTGACGATTCTGGGGACCGCACAGTCACGGGAAGAGCAGGGGACCCTGTGTGAGCACCCGACGACGACAAGAGAGGCCACAGGCACCCCCCCCCCCAATCCGGCCCCAGGCTGGATGCCCCATCCCTCAGCATCCACCGAGACTGTCAGGTCTACTGACCAGCCCGGGATGGCCTGGGGACTCTGTCCGGTCCACAGCTGGCTGGGCTCTGGGCTGAGGGGGTTCCAAGGTCAGTCTAGGCGGGCAGAATTGTACAGAATTGCACAACCTGCATCCGTTCGGAGGAGAGGCAGTAGGCTGAGGCAGGAGGATTGCTGTGGGTTCGAGGCCAGCCTAGGCTAGAAGGGAGACTCTGTCTCATAAACACGTGACACACGTGTGACAGGAACTTCAGCCCTCAGTCACCCTCAGGTGTCCAGGCCAGTGGCACCGAGCACATTCACAGTGTAGCATAACCATCAGCACTGCCCTGCTCCAGTGCACTCGGGTCTCCCCACACTGCAACGGCCCCCGTTAAACACTGACTCTCCAGCCCTGGCAGCCCCCATTCTACTTTCTGGCACTATGAATGTGACTGCTCCTGGGACCACCTCGCAGGGAGCTCACATGGCACTGTCCCGCTGTGACCGGCTGATTTCACTTGGTGTAATGCTCTCTGCATCCACCCACATTGTGACCTCCTTCCTGTCTGGGGCTGTATACTACTCCCCCGCAGGGACAGACCACATTTGCTTATCTATCATCCATCCAGATTCCTGGGCTGCTTCTACCTTTTCACTACTGTGAGTAAGGCTGTGATGAGCCCCATGAGCCTTTGCTTTGGAGCTTTAGAACTGGGCCCTCCTGAAAGGTCTAAGGACTGTCCTAAATCACGGTGGGAGGCACAGGCAGAGTCTGCACCAGATGCGGGTCACAATACTAGCAGATAAAGGTTGGTCCCCCATAGGCTGAGTGCCCGCCACGGTGTCCCTGGCTGGGCATGGGGCTGGCACACAGCAGGCATTCAAACAGTCTACGGACGAGATGTTACCCAGAGGTGGGGAGGGAGGGACAGCCAGGGTGGCAGCCAGACTGGAGACGACAGGGCTGGCCCAGAGGCTTGGTGGGCAGACTGGGACATTGCCTACCTGCACCCCTCTCCGAGCCACAGGACCCTCTTGCACAGCTCCCAGAGCCCCAGCAGGGAGGGGCTGCAACTGGGGGGCAGAGGGGGCCTCCAGGGCCCCCACCTTGACTGTGACCCGCTGGGGCCCAGCTTCGCAAGGCCAAGGCAAACACCCACCCACGCGGCAGGAAGCAGCAGGAGCCAGGCTCACAGACCCCGCCAGCTCCAAGGCCCTTGGGGAGCAGCAGGGTCCCCCAGGATCACTCACTCTGGTCCTGTGCCAGCTGTCACCAGCTGCAGGCCTCAGCCAGGCCACTGGATCAGGGCTGTATACTCGGCCAGAGCCCCCCAGGATCACCTCCCAGCTGCACCCCAGAGCCAAGGCACAGTGGGGAAGCCTGAGTAGCCACGGGGAGGACCCCGTTCCTACAGGGGGCAGAGGCAGGAGCAGTGCCACAGCTCCGCTCCCAGCTGGGGGAGCCTCAGAACCCATCTGCTGGGGCGTCAGGTGTCTTTCTGAGGGTCCAGGAGATTCTGGACACCACGGGGCAGCGATGAGCAGAAGGGGAGCCCCTGTCCCAGGCTGCACCAAGAGCCAGAGTGGACTGGGGCCTCCCCAGGGTCTAGTCTTTATTATTTATGTGTCTCCATGACAGGGTCTCATGCTGCAATCCAGGCTGGCCTCACTCACAAGGATCCATCCTCCTGCCTCGGCCTCCTGAGTGCTGGGATGGTGAGCATGTGCCCGTTCTAGTCCCTGAATAATCCCCGATGGCTGGCGATGACGGGCCAGTCCCTGGTCCCCGCTGCCATGGGGCTGCCATGGCCCCAGCCCTGCCGGCGTCCCAGCCCTTTGGCCTCAGAGGAGGAGGAGGAAGAGGAGGAGGAGGAGGCTGGGAGCAGCCACCCCGCTGTGGCCTTTCATCCCAGACAGGAAGGCCAGCCGGCCACTCTTGGAGCTGGAACAGATGTCGGGAGCCACAGGGCGCTGGGAAAGCAGCGACCTCCACCAGCCCCCTCCCTGCTCCCCCACCTCCCCACTGCTCCAGGGGACCCTGAGCCTGACCTGGCCAGGGCTACTGCAGCCTTTGGGGAGCTGAGGTCAGGCAAAGTCCCCAGCCCACCCCATCTCAGGACGGGGCTCCCTCAGGGTGCCCCGAATCCCCCAGAACTCCCCCATGTCAGGCACAATTCACCCCCCAGCCGGAGCCGACCTGTCAATCATTTATTCTTTAGTGCCTTCGTTCTTATGTGCAAATACGGCCCAAGTGCAGTCTCAGGGCAAGGGTGCTGCTGGCTAAGACAGTCTGGAGCGCGTGTGCGCGTATGTGTGTATGTGCATGTGTGTGTACGTGCTTGTGCCATGCTAGCCTCACGCTGCTGCAGCACGGGGTCCCTTGATCAGTGAAGGATCAGTGCCACTGCTTCTAATAGTCCCGACTGGGGCTCTACCAGCGCCCCAATCCAGAGCCTTGGACACCCACCCTGTGCCTCTCTATGTCTGCCCAGGGCTGAGTCGTCCCCCTGCCCCGTGGCCCTGACACGTGACACCCTGTGTCACGGAACACCGTGTTCCCTGCCCCTCAGATTCCTTCCCCGTGACCTTGAGCTCCTGCCAGCCCCACTTCCCCAGCCCACAGCCCCATCTCATGGTCCAGAGAACCAAGAGGGGGCGGCAGCCCCTGCTGCAGAGGGCTGCAGGGTCCTTCCTCCCCAAGCCCCTACCCTGAGGTCGTTTCCAGCTCCCACAGGCCCTCACAGCCCGCCTAGGGAGAGTCGAGTAGCTGTGGATGGCTCTGTTCTCACCAAGGTTACCATAGGCCCCGATTTCCACACCCAGCTGTGTGTCTCTAGGCAGAGTACTCAGCCTCTCAGAGCCTCTCTCTCTGTCTGTCTCTATTTCTTCCTTTTTTTTTTTTTTTTTTTTTGGTATTGGAGCTCAAACTCATGACCTCACATTTGCCAGGCAGGTGCCTATGCCACTGAGCTAAATCCGAGGCCATATGAGCCCCAATCTCTCATCTGGAAAATGGGGATCCAATTCAGACATTCCTCGTCCAAATTCACTGACTCAGGACATGTTTCGGAACTCAGAGCCTGGAAGTTTACAAAGAAGTCACCTGCCCGGAGTCACACATGGCGTCACCTGGGACCCTCTGGAGCCCTGGGGGCTGTGCTCCCGTGAGCCTTCAGTCAGAAATGCAGGCACACGGGCTCCCCCAGGATAGGTAACGCTCATAAACAGCTGCAGGTCAGGCTTCACCACCAAAGTTATAAAGATGCTCCAAGCTGTCACAGCTTTGGGAGATTCTGATCTCATTCGAGGTGGTGTGAGTACCCCCGCCCTGACAGGGCACCGGAGGCTGAAACAGGAAAAGTGCAGAGCACTGGGCAGGGACCAAGGAGGACTCTGGGCTGGACCAGGCTTGGAGGGGCGATTCTGTCTCCCGTGGCCTCAGGGCTTCCCACGCAGGCTGGATGGCAGCAGACATGGGCAAGGCCCACTGGGCTGCACACTGCCTGGAAGGCCCCACTGCCCTGGTTTGGTGGTGAAGGCCCTGGTCCACCCCCAGGGACTTCACACAGCCTCAGTGGTCCCGTTTGAGGACCCTGTCTGTCCCCAGCAGTTCTGGCTGTAGGTGGAACAGTTACTGGGGGGCTGTCATTGCACCCCCACTCGGCATTAGGCAAAGGGCGCTTCTCGCCTCTGCCCCAACCTCTGATTCAACCTGCAATCCGGCCTCCCAGCTCTGCACTAAGCGGCAGGGGTGCGTGCCCCGCTCCTGCTCCTGACCCCCCACCGTGTTTGGGTCCCGCAGCTCCACCGGGGGCACAGAGGCTCTAAGCCGACGGCTCCGGGAGCGCGCGTCCCTCCTTACCCAGGCGCAGGGTGATGTTGACAGAGGTGGGGTGCTGCACTCCGAAGGCCATGGACGGGCTCTGCCACCAGGTGCTGTCGTCGGGGTTGTGGAAGTCGGTGAGGTAGGAGGCGTTGTGGTGGCGCGCGGGGTCGGCGGCGTCGCAGCGCTGGCACTGGGTCCCCGCGCCCGGCGCGCGCACGTGCGGGCAGAAGTCCTCGGCCGCCGGGGACCCGCAGGTGTGCGACGCCGCCGCGCGCCGCCCGAACGCCGCGTTCTCGAACTCGGGCAGGCAGCGCCGCGCCCGGCCCGCGCCGTCGTAGCACGCGCTGGAGCCCGCGCGCCCCGCGGCCACCGCGCCCGCCAGCGCCGCCAGCGCCAGGCCCAGCACCCGCGCGCCCGCCGCCATGGCCCGCGCCCCGCTCTGCGCCCCGCGTCCCGCTCTGCGCCCGACTGCGGGGAGCGCCGGGCCCGCCCTCCCCGTGCCCCTCCCCTCCTGCCCCTCCCCTCCTGCCCCTGCCCCTCCCCTCCTCTTGCTCCTCCCCCACCCGGCGGGCGGGACCGAGAGGGGGCGGGGAGGTGGGGGGGCCGCGGTGTGGGCACCGCCCGGGACGCCGGCCTCGCGGCAGCCTCCCCCTGCCCTTGCAGGCACGCAAGGCCCTTGGAACCTCTGTGTCCCCCGTCTGTAAAATGGGGTCCACAGAGCGCCTCACAGTACTGCGCGCTCCCTCTGGTTCTGAGATAAAAGACGCATGAAACCGGGCTGAATATTGCCTCCCAGCACTTGGGAGGCTGATGCAGGAGGATCCCTGCAGTTCGAGGTCAGTCTGGGCTGCACAGCGAGAACCTGTCGCCACAAAACAGGCGGCACGCGGGTCTTTACCAGCGCTTTATCCTCTGCACGCAACCGCTCCTGGCAGCACAGGGCGCCCTGGGGAGACAGTGGCCCCCATCCGTGGACCTGGAAGTGCTCCCGCTGCAGACTCTCTGCTGCCCAAGCAGTATCTGTATCTGTATCTGTGAAGTGGGTACGTCCGTCTTCTTACAAATACCGCCTTGGGGAGGACTCCCTCCTCTCTCCCTAAAATAATCAATAAATCAAAAGAGAAAAACCACACACTCGTATCCATAGTTGCTAGAGAAAGCATCTGATTACATCCCCAGGGAAACTAAGGCAAAACAGAAACACCAGGTGTGATTAAAAATGCAGCAAATATTTAAACTTAAAAATTCAAACAATCTTATTACAGCAAAAGACATATTGATCTTAACCTCCTTTGCTTTAGACCCACACAGCCCATCATCCTTGCTGCATCCTGAAGCAGTTCTAGACATCCTTTTTAAAAGATGTGATAAAAAAAATTCAGGCATGGTGACGCATTCCTGAAATCCCAGCACTCAGGAGGCTGAGACAGGCAGATCCCCAGAAGTTCAAGTCCAGCCTGCACTACCTACTGAATTCAAGGTGGTCTAAACTACATGGCAGTACCTTGTCTCTGATGAATGAATGAATGAATGAGATCTTGCACTGTGGGACTTCTGACCCCTCCCCAGTTAAAATGACCATGAAAGGGAGACATTTCAAACCCAGGCAACCGGGACAGCAAAACTACAGACACAAGAGGAGTCCCAGAACTGCTTCAGAAAGTGGCGGGGATGGAGGATACCTGTGTCTGAGGCCCAGGGAGGAGTCTGAGAGAGTCACAGCAAGGTCCTTTTACTGTAATAATTTGTTACAAGCTCACACATTCACCATGTATTTTGATGGCACCGCATATGCTGACCTACACACGCCCAGGACTGTGTTTTCCAGCAAGCATCACAGTAAACCGTGAGATTCCAACAATCTTCCCATTGAGAATAGGTACAAATTGAGGGAAAGTGTTCAGGAAAAGTTGAAGAAACGATGTTAATCGAAGTGGCGTGGTTAATTAAGTATAATTAAAACAATGAGGCTCTATTATAAGCTCAAAAACCCCAAACGTGCTGTTCTTATTATAACTTGGTCTCTGCCTGTAAAAGGTGTGTAATTGCCAGTTAAGGTGCAGCCTTGTAACACACCCACCATGGAACCTCCTCCCTGCCTCCCTGGTTCCTGTAACTGCTTGTTCCGCCTCCCTGGTTCCTTTCATGGGGACAAACTGATCCTAAGACCCTGACCCCTCCCCTTGTGGCTTGCTGCTTTATAACTCCCTGCAGCCCCTGGCTGGGTGCACACTTTCCTGACTGTGTTGGGAACAGTGTCACGGCTGAGCTCAGCTACTAATGCACTTTTTAAAATTTTTTGGAGTCCATCATTTTTCTGCCCATATCAGGCTCCAGGAAAGATCACAGAATAGGTTTGTGGAACTGTGAGCCGTCCCACAGATAGATTCCAATAGAATTAATATATGAAGCTGTGGCAGGGATTTGAATGTTCTTTTGGAAATCCTAATGCAATAAGACAGGAAAAATTAAATGATGTTAAGATTTTACCTTTTGTTTCGCTGAAGACACATCTAGAAAACCTGAGAGATTCTACTAAATAATCAGATTACACTTAATCAGGTGACCAGACACGGGATACAAGTACGAAAACCAACACCAGTGCCAGTTTAGAAAATGCAGGAAAGGACCCCATTCATGACAACGACTCGGGTGATAAGGTACCTGATAACCAATTCAGTATGAAATTGGCAGGATATAAAGGAAGGAAATTATGAAACTTTACCGACAGACACCCCAGAAAGAGACCAGCATCTATACCAAAGGGATCGCAAAGATTTAAGTATATAAATGATTTCCGAGTTAATATGCTTTCTCGGGTCCTGTTTCCTTCATCTGCTAAACAGAGGGGACAAAGTGGCCCCAGGACTTTTAAGTGCCCACAAAATGTCCTGGTTTTTTTGTTTTGTTTTTTTGGAAACAGGGTCTTGCTGTGTAGCCAGGCTGGCCATGAACTCACCGTGTAGCCCAGGCTGGCCTCGAACCCACACTGATCCCCCCCGCCTCAGCCTCCTGAATGCTGAGATTGTGGGTGGGTGCCACCACACCCAGCTCCAATGTATTTTTAAAGTCAAAAGAAAAAAACAAACTTTAAAACAGAAAAATTTTTTTACGTAGTAGTATGTTTGTCTTTGTATGGGCACAGTTATCAAACACAATTTTTTAAAATCCTTTTTTTGTTTGGTACCGGACCGAACTCAGGATCTTCCGAAATCCCATGCAGATGCTGTGTCACTGAACTAAACCCCTGCCTTAAAATTCTTACTTATGGTGTGTTATACACAGCATAAACTAACGATCGTGGCAGCCGTTGGTAAGTTATAGCTCCACAGCATGAACCTGCTCGCTTCATTACGCGACCGTCTCTCCTGTCTTTCCCCAGGATGCCTTGCGGCCACAGGTCTAGAACCCTTCGAGCTGGGTAGTAGCTACAGGGCAGTAGGACTGAGGGCCGCCTCAGGATCTGCCTGGAGGATGCAGATTCGGAGGAGACGGCCTGCTGGCCCTAATCCAGCTCAGAGTCCAGTGGGGAGGAGGCCAGGGGACACCTGGACAGGTGCTCCTGGGAGCTGTGTATCTCAGCATCCTCTGTGTTGCAGAAAGGCCACGCCCCCACCTGGTGCCCGCCCCTCCCCAATGCCGGGAGGCTGCAGGACTTCAGGTGAGGCTGTAGGCCTCAAAGGCCACCCCTGACCTCCTGGGAAGCTGCTTCCATCTCCTCTCTTGCCCAGTGGTCCCATGCAACCTGGCCTCCCTGAGGAGGTGCTGGGCCTGCAGAAGGAGCAGGGCTACACCCCGAAGGAGTCTGCGATGGCTGGGTGTGGTGGCCATGCCTGTAATCCCAGCACTCTGAGAGGCTGAGGCAGGAGGATTGCAAATGCAAGCCCAGCCTGGGGAACCTAGTAACTCAGCAAGGGCCCTGTGAGCGGAAGGTTTAGGAGAAAGTCTGAGCTCAGCACACCGGCCAGGTCACTCGGTATGGAATTCCAGGACCCACTCGGCACCTCTAGTGGCCCCAGGATGGTGATCTCAATGTGAAGGATGGCGCCAAAGGGCCTAGCGGCAGGTGTAGCAAGACTGAAAGCTTCCAACCGGCAGAAGGGAACACGGGCCCCTCTCCTCTGTCCCGAGCTGGGGATGGTGATGTGGGCGGGGACGAGGCAAGGCCGGTGTCCTTTCTCTCTGGCTCCAGGCCATAGCAGACCCCCTGACCTGGCCACCCTAATAATTCTCAATCGAGGGCTCTACTTGGACAGATTAATTGATCATCTTCTTGGGTCAGTTAGTGCGGCTTTTTTAATTGGCTTGCGTGAGTGGGAGAGAGGGTCCCCGCCGTATGACTCTAAGCTCGGGGTGTTTGGACTCAAGCACTGGGCCCACGTCCTGCAGCCCCATCCAAGAGGCTGAGGGGTTCCTCAGCCTCTGCCCGAGTGCCCCGGGGTGCTGCTCCAGCTACAGAGGCTGCACAGAGCTGCTCCTCCCAGAGGATTTGCAGCATGGCCCGGATGTGAATGGGTCCTGGCACTCAGCCGTCCTGGCTGGGGAGTTAGGAGTGGGGACACTGAGGTCACCTCCTGTCCCTCTGGCTGTGTTTTCCCCAGAGTCCCTGGTCTTCAGTGTGTGCCACGGGACCCCTGGACGGTGGCAGCAATGGCAGCTGTGGCCGTGGCTTCCTGACTATTTCTGGCTGTGGATGGCAACCCCGTGGGAGATCTTGGGGCCAGAGAGGTATCAGTGTCTGAGGAGATGGCAGCTGTCCTGGAGGACGCTCCTGGCAGCTCCTCCCGTCCCCTCGAGCCCCAAATTCCCTGTGCTGTCCTTGCTGTGCTGGAGTGTCGATGTCCGCTCCCGGCCGGCAGGAAGGACACACGACACAGTCTGGTAGTGGACAACCTTTTCTTTTTATTTTCCTTCTCCGTACAGCCTGCCCTGGGTTCTCCCAGCTGAAGCCTCCTCTGGTCCGCTCCCCGCGGCTCCTTTTGTGCTTCAGTCTGCCCCAAAGCCTCTACCGGTCCGCTCTCCGCGGCTCCTTTTGGGCTTCTACTTCCGGGCTTCTATCTGGCTTCTACTTCCGCCCAGGGGTGGCACCGGCACACATACGGGCACAGTGTCCAATCATGTCAAAGCAAGCAAGGCAAGCTGATTGGCCAACATCATCAGTTGCCAGGCAGACTATATCGTTGAGCGGGTTGTCCACGCGGCAAGCAGGAAACCAACATACTCGATGGGAGGGGCAATCCACCCCAGGCCTCACTCTTCACCACAGGCCTCACGCCCGCCAAGTAAGGCGAACTATCACAGACGCGGCTCCCAACATCTCCCCCTATTTTATTTTTTATGAATGTGCGCATCGTAGCCCTTCCTGGACTGGGTGCAGAGGCTTATGCCCTATGCGTAGGCCCACCGTAGGTCCTTGGCTTAGACCCTGGTCGGCCGTCCCATGGTCTGCCAAGGC